AGGGGCAGGTGGCGGCGGGGCTGGTGGCCGCGGCGAGGGCGAGGTGGAGGGCGGCGGCGGCGAGGGCGGCGGAGGGGCAGGTGGCGGCAGGGCTGGTGGCGGCGGCGAGGACGAGGCGGAGGGCGGCGGCGGCGTGAGCGGCGGAGGGGCGGGTGGCGGCGGGGCTGGTGGCGGCGGCGAGGGCGAGGCGGAGGGCGGCGGCGGCGAGGGCGGCGGAGGGGCGGGTGGCGGCGGGGCTGGTGGCGGCGGCGAGGGCGAGGTGGAGGGCGGCGGCGTGGGCGGCAACAGGGGTGGTGCTACGAAGGGCGGCGGTGGCACTGATGGTGGCGGCGTGGGCGACAGCGGCTGTGGCAGAGGCGCGGCCCGCGGCGGACGTGATGGCGGCGCGGTGGGGCTGCTTGAGGGCGGGACTGACGGGCTGCTTGAGTCGCCGACAAACCGGAGCAGTTTGGAAGGGAGCCCACTCACGAGGCAGGTGAGATCGGCGGCGAGACCCGGCGTCGAGAGCGGGGTGGCTTGACCAAAGCACCGCCTCCAGCCGTCCCCGAGCCCGTTGTGATTCGCCCCATCTGAAAGCGGCGCGGCCATCTCAGCCGTCACGGTGCCGATGGCGTTCACCGTCTCAATCAGCGAGGCGCCCTCGTAGTAGTAGAGCTCGCGCACCGCAGGCCCGGCGACGCAGGTAGACGCGTTGGCGGGGTTTGCGCACCAGGCCATGTTGACGTTCGTCTTGTTGTCCTCCGCAATCGTCGGCGCGACTATTGCGTCTAGGTCGGCTGTCCTCCACCATTCGGTGTAGCGGTAGTCCCTTCCCGCGTCGCGCACGCGGACGGAGTAGCCCATCCCGTTGGCGCCCCGCTTCGAGTTCGCGCCGCCCATGTTGGGCAGCTTCGCGGGCTCGCCGCGCTCCGGCCCGAGCGTGCGCACCCTTTTCTGGAACTGAGTGTAGGCGACGCTCTTCGATGGGACCCTCGGGTCGAGGAGCGTCGGCAGCAACGACGTCCCCGCCAGTCGTTGGCTCGGCAGCACCGAAATCGTGCCCGGCGCCTTGCGCTCCACCATCGCGACCAAGGTCGGGTAGATGTCAATCAGCTCGGCGACGCCCGCCGCCTCCGTCCCGGGCTCGGGCAGCCACGGCGCCGCAATGAAGAGCGGCACTCGCGCCGCCGCTTCGAAGTTGGTGTGCTTGGTCCAGAAGCCGCCGCGGTCACCGAGGTGATATCCGTGGTCGCTCGTGAAGACGGTGACGGTGTTTGCGCCGTGCGCGCTCCCCTCGAGCGCGTGGAACAGCTTGCCCACCTACAGCCAGAGAGGCCATTGCGTGGGAAGGCGCCACCGCGTGGGCAGCGATGTTGCCTCGCCAACGCCTGCGCGTCGATAAACGAGACGCTCGCGAGGTAGCCGTGCAGCAAGTTGCGCGCGTCCGCCAGCAGGGGCGTCGGCCGCATCCAGCACGTCATCGGCGGGTCGCCACACATCGTCGAGTTGGGCACTCCGTTTCCGAGCCCAAACGGGGTGCGCGGGATGAATTCCTGTTCGGTGCTTGAGAAGTCCTGGCCATGCAAGAGCAGCTCTGCCGCGGCCGGAGCGGTGAAGGAGAGCGTGCCCCTCGGCATCTGGCGCATGCCGTCGTACCTGTCTGGGATGGCGGCCGCTACCTCGGCCGCGCCGTAGTAGTCCCAGTACATCTTTGGAGCGTTGAAGGGGATGTGCGGCCGCCAGAAGCCGATGCAGAGGAAGAAGGGCGCGGCATTGGCCGGCCAGTCACGCACCCACGCCGCGGCATTGTCGCCGTACCACCCATCCTCGTACGCATCGTCAGGCACGCTGATGCCCTCAGCGGTCTGTCCCGCGTCGAATGGAGCAAGATCGACATCACCGGTGGTGCGCTCGAGTTCGGCCTTGGTGACACCGCCGCGCACGGTCCGGTTGTCGTGGTAGAATCGAAAGGGCTCTGGCGACCGGAGGTAGGCGTCGACGCTTCGAAGGATCTCGATAGAGGCGCCGGCTGCCCGCCTTCCCCGGTGAAGCAGCTTACCGTAGGCACGCACATAGTACCCGTTGTCGCGGAAGGCTTGCGGGAGCAGCGTGTAAGGACTCGCCGGTGGCTCCAAGAAGCGCACCTTGTCCTCTCTGGCATTGGTCCACCCGCCCGTCTGGTCTGGGCGCAGGCTGGTGAATATAGCGACGCGGGACGGCGCGCAGGAGCACAGCTGGGCGTACGTGTGCGGGAAGGAGACGCCGCTCGCTCGCAGCAAGTCGAGGTTGGGAGTGCGGGCCGGCACGGGTGTGTTGAGGGTGAGGTCGTCCGAGATCATAAATATCACGTTTGGTGGCTTTTTTGGCAGATTGGGCGGTGGCGGCAGTGGCCGCGGCACCGGCGCCGGCGGTGCTTGCAGTTCCGGCAACGTCTGTGGCCTCCCAGCGGGCGAGGGGGGAGGGACGAAGATCAGGGGCGGATCCGGCGGTGGTGGTGGCGGTGGCGGGGGCGGCGGCTGCGGTGGCGGCGGCGGCGGCTGCGGTGGCGGCGGCCGTGGTAAGATGCCGTCGCGGCATGCGACCTCCGATTCGCAGGACTTCCAGCCACACTTTTTCTCCCACGAGTGGGTGCTCCGCTGGCAGAAGAGCTGACGCTGGCACTCGAAGCAAGAGTCCGAGCACTGCCACTCTCTCCACGAACACTTTTGCGACCAATCTTCCCGCGAAAAGAGGCAAAGCGCAGGGCAAGGCGATCGCTCGAGCGCGCAGCTCAGATGTGCGAGCGCCAACAACGCCAGTGGCCGGCGCACCATGTCTAGCGCGTGGAGGCGCAAGACTTCCTGGATGTAGACGGGCACCCGCAAAAGGGCGATCGGTCGTCCGCAAAATTCCGTAATGGAGGAATTAATCAATCGTTTGCGCGAGCCTCTATTCTTTTTTCCGGGACGCCGCCATTGATGGTTGGGTGGCAGGGTTGGTGCTGGGGTGGTAGGGTTGGGTGGTGTGCAAGGCATCACTGCTTGTCGTTGTTTGTTTGTCCGCGTGACGAGAAGTCCAGAAAGAAGAAAAGATCATTTTGCAAGCAAGATGATTTCATCCGGAAGGGATGGGGTGCTGTCGTGCGATTTCGGGCCCGGGTCTGTGCTTTAGAGAGATTTTTGTGCTTTTGTGGGATCCAGTGCTGACTTCTGGCTGTCGTTGCTGTCTCTCCCTTTATAAATGAGAGATTGTGCTTGTGCGTCTTGGCCCGGCCGGGGCTGTGTCCTGTGACACTGCTTCAGCACTGCCTTCGGCTCGAGCACCTCGAAGCAGTACACGTCGGTGCGCGAGCCTGCCGCCAGCTCCACGTGCGGCGGCGCGGCGGCAGGCAGCTCGACGTCCCCCCGCGCGGGGAGCACCTCGGCCCGCAGCTGCAGCGACTCTGGCAGCCGATTGATCACCACGAAGCGCGGGCAGACGGCGACGGACGACGAGAGGAGCTCGAAGCCGGGCGGGCCGGGCTCGATCGACACGTCGATCCTGTACCGTGTTTGTTATGACCCCCCCCCCCCCCCAATGTGCAATGAACACACCAGTGAGGGAGGGCGAGACGATCGAGGGGTCCCGTACCATGCGGAATCGACCCTATCCAGTGCTCAAGTGCTCAAGTGCCCTTGCGTGAAGCGTAAAGCGTACGAAAAAGAAAGAAAACAGCCAACCCAAGGGAGGGATGGAGGACGGCATGCCGCCACCACACAGGGATTTTAAGGCCCCGTACCACGCGGAATCGACCCTATCCAGTGCTCAAAGTGCTCAATAGGAGTGTGGTGCTAGCCGTCGCCCACCCTCGGGGCGCCTACCTCTTCCTACCTATCAATCAATTCTCGCAGCGACCTGCGTGAAGCGTACTTGTATGATTCGCGTGTGCTCATCTTCTTGATCACTTGCTGTGTTCATCTTCTTGGATCGCGCCACCCACGCCACTTCCTTTTTAACCCCGAGGTAGGGATCCCCACCTCTAACATCGCAGGGATCCCCACCCTCGAGAGTTCACCCCGGGGGGGACCCCGCGGAGTCGGCTGGGCTAACCAGCCAGTCCACCCGACGATGGCTTTCGCCGAGAAGAGCGAGCTTGCGAGCAGCCCGAGCTCCGTCATGGCCGGTGTCTTATCGCCTCTGGAGGCTGCGGTGTCTGAGCGGCTGCTGCGAGAGCGCGCTGGCGAGTTGACATCACTTGGGCAGCTCTCGCTGGTCAGCCAGCGCCGCGCCGAAGAATGCCCGATCTGCTGCGTGCCGGCGTGCGAGCAGGCGTATCCACTCCCAGCGCTGCCGCAGGGCGCGTATGCCTGCGCGCACGCGATTTGCCGCGATTGCATCGAGAGGATGCTGATTGCGGCCTGCGAATCATCCGAGCCGTCGCGCGCGATGCGATGCCCATTCTGCCGAGCCAAGGAGGTCTGCCAGGCCGATCTGCCGGTCCCTCCTTGGTACCGCGCCGTCCTGTCCCGGCGCGCGGTCGTCGAGGCTCGTGCCCACGCGGAGAGACGCTGCCGCGAGAACGCGCTGGCGGCGTACCAGATGGCGACTGCCCACGCCGCCTCCAACATCTCCGCCCTACAGCGGCTGGTCTTCAGCAGCGGCGCATCGGAGCGGCTGCAGCAGGCGCTAATTCGCGGGTCGGGAAGCGCGGCGGGGTCGGAAGACGGCATCTTCAACTTTGAGGACTTCGAGGAGGAGAGCGAGGAGGAGGAGGTGGAGGAGGAGGCGAGGGCTGTCGCGGCGTGCTTGACTCGCCGCTCTGTGCTCGAATGACCACGCCTGAAGTCGCGTGTGCTTCTTAGGCCCGTAGCGGCGGCAGCGGTGCCAGCGGAGGGCTCGAGGTGATGAGTGTGGCGGAGGCGGAGCTGCTGTATGAGGCGCCTTGCGAGAGGAGGGAGGGGGCGCGAGGGCGGACGCTGCGGCGGGCACCTCACCGCGGGTCCCTCGCCCCCGAAGGCGGAGCTCGAGGCGGAGGCGAGCGTGTCGGCGGAAGGGCTCACGCTGCGCGGCTCTCCGCCGAGCGACCGCCTGTCCGAGTTCTTGCGGCGGGTAGGCGCGGCGACGACCGCCCTCGAGCACTAGCTAGAGGCACGCGCATCGAGAGCGCGCGTCGAGATCGATTCGTATATCTTTGTGTCAATAGTTGAGTTACATTGTATAATATGAACTGTACTGGCGTGTGACATATCTCGGTTTCATACATCATTTTGAATATGAATTGGGCGGGCGGGGCGCATACATGGAAATCTCTACGCAACATCGGAAGATCCCCTGCTTGTGGACTGCGGCTGTAGATCGTAGATGCCTTTTAGAGATCTCTTAAGTGGCAAATCTCCTGCCAAGAGCAGCAGTAGATTGAAGAACTGGTGGAGGCAAATCTTCTCCGGTGTAGATGCTCGAGAGGAGTCTGAGATCTCGAGTTGGTGCGTGCAGTCGCTTGAGATCTTGCGACAGAGGTGGAGATTCTGACTTCGCGCCAAAGGCGCCTAGAGATCGTGTGGGCCGACTGGAGATTGCAAAATGGCGCGAAAAGAGGGTGGAGATCCTTTTGCATTGTGAATGAATCCATAGCGCATCTCCTTGAAGGTTTGAGCCCCCTCCTCCCCCGGGCCCCCGAATCGAGATTGGAGATTGGAGATTGGAGATGGAGATCGGAGATCTGACTGAATCCGGCCTAAGATGACGACGTTGGAGATTGGAGATTGAAGATGGAGATCGGAGATCTGACTGGATCCGGCCTAAGATGTAGCGACGCTGGAGATTGGAGAGTACTGGAGAGATGGAGATCGGAGAGCCCCCCAAGTCCCTAGTGGTGTCTCATCGATTTTCTTGTTTTGTTTTTAGACAAATTCTGTGCGCGGACGGCCCGGGGAGCCTCTGGCGCCATTTTAATCTGCGCTCCTCTTCATTGGCCTGCGGCGCCTGGCTTGAGCTTGGAAGTGTAAACGAGTCCGCCACGACGTTCTGCACACCTGAAGCCCCCTCCCCCCCCGAAAGATCCCAGCCAAACTAGGGGGGGTATTATCGTTCACGCTGCCAACTCGGCAAATAAGTTCGCCGTAGACCGCGCGCGCAGCGCGCTCCGTGTTTGCAGACCGCCCCGGCGGACTCGTTTACACTTCCAAGCTCAAGCCAGGCGCCGCAGGCCAATGAAGAGGAGCGCAGATTAAAATGGCGCCGCAGGCTCCCCGGGCCGTCCGCGCACAGACCACAGGAAAAAACAAAAATCTATAAAACATCTATCAACACCACTAGCGGGTGGGTGGGCTCCGATCTCCCCATCTCCAATACTCTCTAATCCACAGCGTCGTCAGCTTAGGCCGGGGATCCAGTCAGATCTCCGATCTCCATCTTCAATCTCCAATCTCCAACGTCGTCATCTTAGGCCGGATTCAGTCAGATCTCCGATCTCCATCTCCAATCTCCAATCTCCAATCTCGATTCGGGGACCCGGGGGAGGAGGGGGGCTCAAACCTTCAAGGAGATGCAATTTGGATTCATTCACAGTGACCATCTCTCATCTCCAATCTCCAATCTTCTACTTGGCCACTGTCGCCGCGCCGGCAGCAATCTACGACCTCCATTTTCAATCTTCGATCTCACATCTGGGGCGGATGGCTGGGCGCTAGGATCTACAATCTGCATTCTCCATCTCCTATCTCCACATTTTGGCCCGTGTTGCTGCTCAGCGATCTGCAACCCACAATCTCAATCTTCGATCTTTAGTCTTGAATGGGGAACCGGACTGGAGGGATCTACTGGCGAGACTTGGGCGTGTCCGTGTGAGAGATCCGCTAGGATCTCCAGTCTTAATCTACTATCTCTACCCCAACGATCTACTGGTCTTGCGTAGAGATTTCCATTACTCGCGGGGCGAGAAAAATCTCGGTCTGTCGTCTGACTCTGACGCGGTCATCTGGACCGACGCGGTCGTCTGACTGAGTCCCGTGCGTGTTGAAGTGCTAAAACAAAGAACAGCTGCGACGTGCGAGGTCCCTGCACACAACCAAAAGATCGCACGGGCGCGGGGACCTGTTGCTTTTTACCCATCTCACATCAGAGGTGTCCGTTTTTATTCGAAATGTCAAAAAGAAAAAATCGCCCTCGGCCAAGTCACACCAAGATCGTACAAAGAACCCTGCACAAAGATCGCAAGGGCGGGGACCTGTTCCTTTTTACCCATCTCACAGTAGAGAGGTGTCCGTTTTTATTTATTTACCAAGATCGTGCAGCTGCAGGGCGGGGAGACACCTGTCCCTAAATATCCCATCTCGTCTCAGAGTTGGACCATTTTATTCCTACGAGAGCTCGTAATGCACGTCGCGGCTTGGTGTTTTGGGTTTGTCTAACTCTTTGTTCATTTATTTATTGGTGCTCTTACCGGACGGACGGCACTCCGTGCGAGCCGCAGAGCGACGCCAAGGCCATCACCTCCTTGACGTTTTGCTGCGTCACCTCCTCGAGGCGCCGGAGCACCTTCATCGACCACGGCGGCGAGCAGAGCACGTGGATCGCCGTCTCAAAGTCGTCGCCCGTCACATGCTGTGCCTCATCCTCGTCCACAATCACCCTCTCGCCTCGCACCGCCTGGGGGAGCGCCTGCTCCGCCAACGCCCGCACCGTCGCGCCGCGGCGGAGCACGTCGTTCCAACTGCGCATCACGCCGGCGATGTCCTCACGCGTCACGGCGACCAGCGGCTTGCAGACCGTGAGCTCCTTTGGCTTGCGCAGCATCACCTTGATTACCGTCTCGATCGGGCACTCCGGCTTGCTGCGCCGCACCTCGCAGACGGTCGCTGCCTCGCCCGCAAAGGCGGTCGGGAGCAGCTCGCGCGCCCACCGGCAGACCTGCTCCGCCTTTGCCGCCAGCGCGGCCTTCCTCGCCGTCAGCGCCGGAGAGAGGACGCAGGCCGCAAAGTCCGCCCGCAGCTGGGCGTGGTCGAGGTCCTTGCCGATGACGACGAGCCTGCTGCGCCGCCCCGTCTCCTCCTCGCGCCGGAGCTCGCTCGTCCACTTGAAGACCATGTGCACCGCCTGGAAGACGAGCTGCTCTCGCCGGCCCGCGACGGAGAGCACGCCCTTCATGCGGTAGAGCCGCGCGCCCTGCGTCTGCAGCAGCGTGTGCACCCAGTCCTGGACGAGCTCAAAGTCGACCTCTCCCTCCTCATTGATGCCAACGCTGCTCACCGACGCGTCGTGCGCGTGCTCGCCGTCGGTCGACAGAAACTCGGGGTCCATCTCGAGGGTTCGCTCGAGGTCGAAGCCGCGGATGTCGAGGAGGGAGCCGACGTCGACGGCCGCCTGCTCGCAGCGCTGGATCGGCGCGAAGCGGTTGATGGCGCGGAGCCGCGCCTCGACGCGGCCGAGGTCGGCCTCGCTCACCAGGTCCACCTTGTTGAGCAGCAGCCGGTCCGCGAAGGCGACCTGCTCGACCGCCTCGTTCTCGGCGCCCTCGGGCTTCTCCTCGTCGAGGTGCTGCTCGATGTGCCTGGCGTCGACGAGGGTGACGATCCCGTCGAGGCGCGCAAAGGCCTTGACCGAGTAGTCGACGAAGAAGGTCTGCGCCACAGGCGCCGGGTCGGCGAGCCCCGTCGTCTCGATGAGGATGCCGTCCAAGCGCAGCTCGCCCGCCCGGACTCGTGCGGCGAGCTTCTGGAGCACGGCGATCAGGTCCGAACGGACCGTGCAGCAGATGCAGCCGTTCATCATCTCGATGATCTGCTCCTCGTGCTGCACCCTCGTGTTCTCCGCGAGCAGCGCGTCATCAACGCCGACCTCGCCAAACTCGTTCTCGATGACGGCGAGCCGCTTTCCGTGCGGCGCCGTCAGGATGTGGTTGAGGAGGGTCGTCTTGCCGCTGCCGAGGAAGCCGGTGAGGACCAGGACGGGGACCTTGCTTGCGAGCGCCTCGGCGGTGTTGGGGAGCATCATGGTTGAGGGTGTAGGCTCTCCGACCAACACCGATCAATAATCACGAGTTCACGACCGGCGCGGCGTGCGCTTTCAAAAGAATTTTAAATAAAGAGAGAGAGAGAGTCCCAGTAAGCTAAGAGTACGTACGAACACTGAAAAACAAAGAAACGCCACACGCGGCGCAATCTCCGGGGGTGTGGAAGACGGGCACTTCCAGTGTACCCCCGCAGGCCAAAGGTCTCGCCCTACAGCCGCCCTTCCCTCCTCCTAGGATCGTCGACCCGAGATGAGGTGTTGCACCGATCCCGTCGACGCCGCTGACGAGCCAAAGACCGCCCCAGCAGGCGTTCAGAGAGCGAGTCTCGGTCAGGCGCACACCGATTTGGTTGAGTACCGATTTCAGTCGCTCAGGCATGTCCGGTCCCTTCTCCTTCTCGAGCGGCCTCCCCGACTGCTGCGCCGCGAGCCCGGACCTCTACAAAACAATCGCTGAGATCCCCGACGTGGCCCGCCTGGTTGAGATGACGTTTCCTCCGGGTGCAGCCAACGGCCCACGTTTCCTCACTCCGTCACCTCACCCCGGGAGGGAACTACTTCACGCAAGCGGGGTCTGCGTTGACTTCAACCACGGCGCCGCACCGCAGGCGCCAAGGACGTCCCGCACGAGCACCCCATCCACTCCATGTACTTCATCACCGACTGCAAGCTCAAGGCGACTTGACCGCCCGGTGTGGGTGCGGGGGCGGCGGCAGTGCGGGCGGTGGTGGTGGTTCAGGGAGCGGCGGCGAGGGCGGCGGCGGCGGTGAGGGTGGTGGCGGCGAGGGCGCCGCCGCCGGCGGCGGTGGCGGCGGCGGTGGCGGTCGGACAGAGCACCCACTCCGGCCAGCCGCCCACCCCGCACCCCCTCCCCCCACTGACTGTCCCAGATTGCGGGCCCTCCGACGCCGACCAAGCTGGGCGAGGAGGGCGGCGTGGCGGAGGTCCCTGCGGGCGCGGCGCCGATCTTCCCGGCCATGGCGCACCAGGTCGAGAATGTCGGCGACGCAGTCGGCAAGGCCATCTGTACAACCCGACCTCACCCCGAGTGCCTTGTCGGAGCCGCCCGAGAGCCTTCTCGGAGCCGTCCAACAGGCGATCTTCGTCGAGCCGTACCCAAACTGCAAGGCGTGCGGCGAGGTCGCGGGCTACATCTCGCCCTTCGAGGTGTCGCCCGGCTGCTACAAGATCCTGGCCGAGGACGACGACTGGATCACCGGCGTCCTCACCATGGCCGTCGGCGAGAAGGATCTCCTCCATCACCACAAGGCGCACCGCAACCCCCACCCGCCTCGCGGGCCTCGCCGCGCTGTCGACGCAGCGGCAGCGCTCCTTGACCCCGCCGCCGCACGCGCGCACGCAGGACCACCTGATCTACGTGCTCGAGGGGGACGGCGTCACCATCTACCCCGGCGGAGACGAGAGCGCGGCCATGGTCGTGCCGCTGCAGGTGGGCGCCGGCATCCCGGCGCCGATGTCGGCGCCGCCCTTTGCGAAGCACACGCTACTCAACTCGGGCACGGTGCCGCTGAAGATGGTCTTCTTCGAGGCGAAGAAGTGAGCGGAGCGGGCGACACCGCTGTTGCCTGTTGGCCGCCCCCGCTCCTAGGCCGATCGCGAGGGGAGAGCGGTTTTTGCCGCGGCCGATGTTTAGTCCGACGTCCGAGCCTCGCCGCCGGCCGCTGGGGCTATCTGCTGCTGTAACGTACTCGCAGCCCTAGGAGCTGTAGGTAGCCCGACAACCGCACGGGGGGGGGGGGGGCTGCTCTGCTTGCTCTGTGGAGAGGACCACTGCCTAGGTACGATCTGCGCGCATCCCCCCGCTCGAACGCCCCGTTGTCTGTTCGGTTGGAGATGGAGTCTAAATAAATTCAATGTATACCCGCGCGCGGCCGCGCCCCTCGCCGCCCCGGCGGGGCGCCGCCGGCGGGGCAGCGCCACCGCGCCAGCGGTGCAAGCTGCGCCCGCGGGCGCGGCGGGCCCGGCGCGCGCGGCGGCGAGGCGCCGCGCGTGGAGAGACTGGGGGCCCGTCGGAGAGACCATTAGACACGCCGGGACGGCGGGAACAGAGAACTTGAGACATGCGCACACTCATGACAGGTCACACACACAGACGCGCGGGGTATCTGATAAGTCGGAAAGCGCAGGAGGGCTCTCTCTACCTGTCGCCACCCCCTTGGCCCGGCTGCTCCCCCGCGTCCTCCACCAGCGTGGCGCGCGAGGGCGAGCGCGACGGAAAGGGCGAGACCACGTCCGCGATGCTGGCGATGTCGGAGGTCGCCCATGCCGCGGCGACGGCGGTGGTTGCGGCGGAGGCGGCGGAGGATGGCGGCCCCCCCGGCCTGCCGGCCGGGCGGGAGGGAGCCTCTCGCTCGTAGGCTTCGGCGGCCGCGCGCGCCTGCTCCGCGCTGAGGAGCATCTCGGCGTGCGAGGCATCGGTCCAGCGGAAGCCGAGGCTCTCGTACAACCGGATCGCCACGATGTTTGACACGCTGCCCGCAACCTCGAGCCGTACGTCCTTGGGCTTGCCAAACTGCAGGCTCTCGACCAGGAGCGCACGGCCGATCTGCTGCCCTCGGAACTCGGGCGCGACCCAGACGAAGTCCACGTGCAGACTCGAGCGACCAGCAGCCTTGTCGAACTTGAGCGAGCGGCGCACGACCCCGGCCGGACGCTGGCCGCCCCGACGCGCGGGCACCCACGCTACTAGCAAGTCGCGCGGGTAGAGCTGGCGGTCACGCACGTCCAGAATCGAGTTGATGAAGCCGCGCTGGTGCTCGCGCTTCCGCAGCTGCCCACGCACATCGCCAAGCTCGTCAGCCGAGCCGCAAGGGCGGATGGTGAAGCAGGACGATGAGCCGCGCGAGGAGGCCGAACGGACTGAAGTGGCGGCCTCGGAAATGGCAGGGACTGCAAACTCCCGCATTCGGAGCGATCTCAATGCCTCCTGGCCTCCGCGCGATCTCAGCGCATTTCCTTGCCGAAGAACCGGGGCGCGTGGTCCAAGCCAGTTTTCTTTTATTCCCAACTTGATGTAGCCTGTAAAGTGCCCCAACCGAGCGGTGTATGGGTTTCTTATCGTTTCAAGCCAAGGATTTTCTTTCTCATCACCGCGCGGAGCACAGGCCACCGCCGTCGCACCGATGGTCAACCTCCTGATCACGGGCGGGCTTGGCTTCCTCGGCCAGCAGGCTGCTCGCCGCTTCCTTCGGCGCGGCGCCGCGCTGTGGAGCCCTGTCGACCGCTGCCTCAAGCCGCTCTCGCAGCTGACGCTCTTCGACGCGGGCGGCATCCCGGACGACCTGCCCGCGGAGATCACGCAGGACGAGCGCGTGCAGGTCAAGATCGGCGACATCACCGCCGAGGGCGTACCCGCAGAGCTGGTCGACGAGCCAGACATGGCGGTGCTTCACCTCGCCTCGATGGTCTCGGGCGACTCGGAGCTCAACCCGGACCGCGCGTGGGAGGTGAACGTGCTGGCGCAGCGGGCGCTCCTCGACGCTCTGGCCGCCTCCGCGCCCGGCGCCCGCTTCCTCTTCACCTCCTCGACGGCGACGTTTGGGAGCCTGCCGCCACATGCGCCGCCCGACTACGCGGCCGGCGACGGGACAAAGCAGCTGCCCGGCAACACATACGGCTTCTGCAAGGTGGTGTGCGAGCTGATGGTGAACGACTACGCGCGGCGCGGCGCTGTCGACGGGCGCGGCCTCCGGCTGCCCGTCGTCGTCGTTCGGCCAGGCGCGCCACCGCCCCTCGCCACCGCCCGCCGTCACACTGCTGGAGCGCTTGCCGGCCCCATCCTTTAGGCGCTCCCAACCCCGCCCTGACCACGTGCTGGTCGTCCGCCGTGCGGGAGCCCCTGCGAGGGGAGGCGGCCACGCTGCCCGTGCCGGCCGACACGCGGCTGCCGGTGGCTAGCTACCAGGCGGCCGGCTGGCGGCGGAGCGGGGTTGCTCGCGCTCCGCCGCCGCGTGACTCGTCGCGTGAGCTGCAAGTCAGGCCGCCGTCGGGGCGATGGAGGAGCTGCTCGTGCACACGCCGGCTCGCGTGCTCGGGCGGGACCGCACCCTCACCCTCCCCTCCCTCTCTCTCTCGCCGGCGGAGCTGCACGCGGCGGCGGCGAGGCTCGCGCCCTCGCTCGGGGTCGAGCTGGGCCCGCCTGCCGGAGGAGGCGAGGCAGCGAGCCGCGGAGCGGCGCTGCTCACGCGCTCCGCTGCGAACAGGCGCGCTGCTCGAGGAGCCGGACGAGCTGGCGACGCGCGTGGTGCGCGGGATGGGCGAACGAGCCGACGGCCGCCCGCGCCCCTCGCGCTGCGCTCTATTGTGGCGACGCGTCCGTGACATGTCCGCACGACGTCCCGTAGGCTCCCGCGCGCTCAAGCTGGGGCTGCTGCGCGACGAGAGCGCCGACTCGATCGTCGGAGGGTATGCAGAGGATTACGTCGTGCAGGGCGGGAGCGAGCGCGAGGAGGTGCTGAGTTGAGAGCCCGTGTAGGTCAGACCGAGGAAAGAGAGGTCAGTATGTACCAGGTCGTAATCCAAGTCTGAACGAACCCAACGACCGGCTTCTGAACGAGAGAAAAGCGAAAAAATAGTCGCAAAAACGACAAAGCGTTTGACAAAGGGGGAAAGGCGCACTGTCCACTGACAGTGGCCCACTTGATGTGGTTGCAGCACTGAGAGGACGTTGACGTTACAGTAAAACCTAGGGTTGCCTAACGTTAATTTGGGGCCTAACAGTTGCGCTATTGTTGGCTGAAATCCTCAACGTTGTTCGAGTGTTCACCCCAGCCCATGCTGTTACTGTTTGTTACTGTTTGTTACTGTTGTTCAGCGGCCAGCAAGCAGAACGGCAAAAAACCCGGGTAAAACCCGAAAATACCTCTGGGACTTTCCGGGTATTTTCGGGTATTACCCGCACTGGACACTAGAGATCGTCGTGGGTCACTGCCAGGCCTTCCTTACTGTTGTTCAGTCGGCCTAACGTTAGCTACTGTTGTTGGGGGGGCCCACTGTTGTTCTGTTGTTACTGTTAACACTAGCAACACTGTCCAGCTCTTAACGTTAGGCAACCCTAGTAAAACCTTAAACTTTTGCCGTAGAAAACACACACGGCACACGCCCCAAGCTGCAGAAACGAGCTTTTAGTGCCTTCAAGCGAAGGCACTGGATTATCGTGCGCGCGGAGCGCGCTTGGTGCTACCCGGACACGACACGCGCGGCTGGCACCAACTTGATTCGTAGATCGGCGTCTCCCCCTCCCCCTATGAGCTATGTGCCGCCACCCCCCACCCTCCAATCCGTAATTCCGTAAAACCGCGCAAAAAGCGCCCTAATCGAGCTGGAGAGCGGCCCCCAGCCGCCCGGGAGCGTGCTCTAGCTAGCGGGAGCGTTAGACGTACTTTTCGGCGTGAACTTGAACTTTCGGCGACGTCCGTTCCCCTCGCCTTAGTGCTTAGACACGTCGACACATGGGCACCGACGCAGCTCAGCATTGTGCTGAAGGGTCTGCTCAACGAACTCGGAATAGCCAACCTCAGTAAGTTCGAGGCTGTGCTCAAGCACGATACAGGCGCGGTGCTCGACGCGATCCGAAGCACCGCTGCAGCCGCAGAGGCTGGTGCGGCGGCTTATGCCAGCTCGGCCACGAGCAATGTTGTTGTGTCCCCAAGCAGCACTGCTACCGCTGACGTAATCTCCGTGCAGCACACGGGCAGCATCTCCCGCACTCTCGTCAGCACAGACGCGCAAACCACGCCAAAGGGATCGGACATCCATGCAGCCGCAAGTAGTGCGAGTGCTGAGATGCTGTCCGGAGGAGTTGGAGGAGAAGTTGCGGTCACGGACCAAGGAGCTCGCTTCAGAGCAGCGCTCTGCGAGCGCTGTGAAGAGGGTGCTCGCGTCGGCGCAGGATGAGCTTGCTGCGGCACAAGAGCTGAGGCGCTCCGACTGCGACAACCTGAGGACAGCCCAGCAGGCTGCTAAACGCAACATCAAAGCGGCCGAGCGGATGGCCGACGAGGCAAAACACGCGGCTCGAGCTGAGTGCGAGTGGCGTCTCGGCGAGATGCGGGCCAAGGTGCAGGCTGAGCTGCGCGAGCAGCTCGACCCGCTGCAGATTTCGATGGAGGCAGAGGCGAGGCGCGCTGATGCCGCAGAGGCGGAGAGGTCAAGGCTGCACAACAAGATGGAGGGGATTACGCACACGCGTGAGGGGTTGATAGTTGCACTCGCAGAGGCGCAGCGCAATGCAAATTTAGTGACTGTGAAGAGATATACGTAGCGTTACAGTCGCACGGTCGTCAACGCTCCCACTGTGTGGGCCGCCCGCGCGGACCCCGGAGAGCTGCTGGCCTGCGCGTGCAGACAGCGTTGCGCGAGCATTGGAGAGGCCAGCCCCCGGCTTCTGAGAGCATGTCGCGAGTGCTGTGTCTCTGTCTGCCTGGTAGCTGGGTGCGGTGGGGGACTCCCTGGTGGCTTTTGGTTACAAATTTACGGATTTACGGATTTACGGATCCACCCCCCTCCTCCCCGTCCCGCGGCCAATGGTTGGGTGTAGGGCTAGAGGGTCGCTCTACACTTAGCCTCTGCAGCGAGCGAGCGCTCAACTTAGCCCCCGCACGGAGCCGGGCTCAGACTTAGACGCTGTATGTCGGGGGGCCTGAACTTAGACGACATCAGGCCAACTCCGGATAAACCCTGGTATACCTGCAAAAGTCCAGGTTTACCCGAAAAATACCTGGACGCGTCCCACATATGCCGCGCACGCCTACTCCCAGGGCCAGTGCGCTACTTGCGGCGCGCACCGCCTGCTCAAGTACCCGCATCGTACCATGTGCTGCCGCTACGCGTGCCAGAACGCGGCTGCGGCGCAGCGGCGAGCGCGGCTTGCCGATGGCGGTGCGGACGATGCGGTCGTGCCGGCGTTCTGCTACAAGATCAAGGCGGTGCTTGGCAAGCGCTTCTGCGATCCCGATCAGCTCATCGCAAAGAAGCGGCGCAACAAGCTGGCTGCTGCCGACAAGGCCCTGTAATACCTCATGCGCGGAACTCCAAGACAACCCCGGGGATGCGCGAGCAGGACGAGGAGGAGGGCGAGCTGGCTGGAGATGAGGGTGGAGAGGAGGGCGAGGAGGGGGAGGACGGCAGGGATTGAGGGGGCGAGACGGGTGGAGCGACCGTGAGAAGCGAGCGTGTCGTGTCGTGTCGTGTCGGTGCTGTTGGCGGTAAGCAGGCGGTCCGCGGGCACGTGACGAGCCCTCATGTCCCCAGGCCGTGCCACGGCAGACTTAGCCCGTGTAAGAGGCTCTCGCTGATCTTAGACCGTGCAAGCACCCCAGCGTGCCAGAGCACACTTAGACCCGCTAAGCCTCGAGGCTCAGAACTTAGACTACTACCCAACCAGTCCGCGGCCCGGCCGTGAGACGCCGATCTACGAATCACAAGTTATATAAGACGTGTGGTACCCGTACTGGACGCTGGAGATCGTCGTGGGTTACTGGTAGGCCTTCCCTTATTGTTGTTCAGCCGGCCTAACGTTAGCTACTGTTGTTGGGGAGCCCCACTGTTGTTCACACTAGCAACACTGTTCAGCTCCCAACGTTAAACAGCTCTACGGCGGAGCGCCGCCACTCGAGATTGGGCCTGTGGGTGGGCCGAGTGGTTCCTAGCGTGTGAGTCAGACTCTTAATAAAAATCGCATCTTTCTAGCCCTCCTCAACCCTCAAAAATTTCCTCGGGGCGCGCTGCGCGCGCGGCGCTCCGCGCCTGACTCCTTGAGCGTCGTAGCCTCGTAGGTGCTGGTTCGCACATGTTCTGGCTTCTGCAGCTTGGCACACGGCAATGGCAAATCTGCAATCAATATGACAAAAGAGAAGTTCCCAGAGGCTCGAGAAGTTTTCCGGCTTCCCCTTCCGCGGCAACGACCAACGTGCGAGCAGCATCAGGTGAGTGAGAGGTGAGAGACTGAGAGCAGAGAGAGAGAGAACGAGCGCGCACGCGTGACGTCTTTTACGAGCCACGCGTAGGGCCTTTAGGGGCCTGACCCTCCCTTTTCTCTGTTGCAAGAATTAAAAGTAAAACGGCCCTTCCAAAGTCCAAAGTTTGAGTTGGCGTTTGCGTTTCGGCGCGAAGCGCATCGGGACTGACGTGCGAAGCCGGATGCCGTCTGCGCATTCGTGCGGGAGCAGGGGAGGAGAGGGATCACGCATAATCTTCCTCGACTGTGATGGCGTGTTGTGCTGCAACAGAACAGCTTTGATTGAGTTGGACAAGCTGCAGCGCCTCACCTCCGTCGTGAAGCGCACCGGCGCATGCATCGTTTTGAGCACAGACTGGCGGAGGTTCCCAGCCTTCAAGTCGACTCTGGTCGAGGCACTGTCACGGATGGGCCTCAAGGTGGTGGGTTCGACACCGCTGATGGCTTCGCAGCGAGTCCGCCCTCTCGAAATTTCTAGCTGGCTCCGGCGGCGAAATGAGGAGGCGAGGCAGACTTGCTGGCCCTTGCATTCAACACTCGCCTGCGTCTGCCAGCGCCCAGCGCCCACCCCCGACCCCCATCTCAACCCTACAGGCGGCCGCCGGCCGAGCCACACCGGTGGTGTCGTGGGCAGCAATCGATGACCGGCCGCTGCTCGCCGAGAAGGGTGGGATGGACCTTCTGGGCCATTTCGTGCAGACGCGGTGGGCGACGGGGCTCAACCAGGCGGCAGAAGAGGCGCTCCTCGAGGTGCTGCTGGGGCCTCAGCCAAGGTCGATCCCAAAGACGCCCGTGCCTGTTCCGCTGCCCACCACATCCAAGCAGCGGGAGGAGTCGCGGGCGATGTCGACGCCGTGGACGTGGGAGACGGTCCTCAAGGCTTGCATCTCTCGTTCCATGAACACCATGTCCACGGTCATGTGATGCGTCCCGAGGAAACACATGGGGCTCCTCACCTCTGACTCCGCCACATGACGCCGCATGACGCATGGTCACCTGAGGCGTGCGGGGGCCCACGCGGACACACCCGTGTGCCGTCAGCTGTCCGCGGCTGACAGGATGGGCTGTCGGGCCCGAGAACGTATGTCGGTGCCTTCCAGTTCAGCATCCGCGTATTCCTGGACCGGATCTGGCGAGAGGCCCTGTTGTCAGTCCACTTCAAACTCGTGTGTATGTGTTGCCTGTCGGCGGCCGGGCGCGGCTGGCGGGTGCGCGCGCCCTTCGCCGTCGTCGGCCTTACTAAGTTTTACCCGCTGCCTTGGCCTCACTTGTGACTAAGATACTTGACACTTTCGTCGCGACCCCGTCACTTATCTGGTATTTAAATGGTATTGTTTCACATTATCACAAAAGCGCACACCTCAAGGTCAAGCTCGATCCCACACCTCAGTCACCTAAGGTAAGGTAAGGTAGATTTCTCCACACACACAAAGTGGTGGCTGGGGCAAGGGGGGGCGACCCTCGCATCTCCACGCCCGGACACGGGCAGGAGCCCCACGGCATTCAAAGTGCAAGCACTGGCCCGGTGCACGTGGGTGAGCAGCCTGCCCCTCCCTCCCGACAAACCAACTCCCGCACACACACAATCGCACTCTGCTCTCTGGCCATCGAATGACTCCGAATGACTCTCAGTCACCTCCGCTCTCGGGGCGCTGGGCGGGGGGTGCCGCGCACGTTACCACTAGTGAAGGGGTGCAGGGTGCACACCCCGGCTGTGCGCCTCCTTTGTTTCATATTTGAGTCACAAACACACACAGACCTGCCTTAACACCTCGGTCCAACGCGCTCGGCTATGGTCATCACCGCGCGGAGTTTGTCTGCTGCGTCTCCCACCAGCCGCTCTGCTGCCTGCCGATCGCCTCGAGCTGCGCGCGCCGATCCGCGGGGTCTGCCGACAGCGCCTCTGCAGCGGCCAGCAGGCTGGGCGCCTCCTCGGAGCCGAGCCTGTCAAAGGCCCCTCCGGTTGCGAGCACGGCGTGCGCGAGGGCCCTCTCCCGCGTCGAGTCGTTTGGCATGCCTCTGTGCTGCAGTCGAAAGTCGAAGAGGATGAGCCCGCCCGCAGGGCAAGCTGGCACCGCCATCTCCGCCATCGCCGCCGCGTCTCGCTCGAGGAGGTACGAGCGGCACGCGTCGAGCCTCGCCGCCTCGTAACCGAGCCGCTTCCGCTCCAGATGCGAGCCGGGCCAGAACATCGTCCCATCGCCGCCCTCTGCGAGGTCGACCAAGGGCACGAAGACGTTGAAGAGGCGGTGCCTCCGGCTCAGCCTCGCGAGTCGGAGATGCGTGTCGCCCGCGTCGGCGTGGAAGCGCTGCGCCCCTGCGCCGGGGCTGCTCACGATGGCGCCAAGCTGGTCGACCGCCGGGCGAGGAGGGAGGAGCGAAGAGGCTGCCTCGAGCAGGGCGCGCGACCACGGAGGCGTGTACTCAGGCAGCATCCCGTCGTCCCCGTTTGCGGGCAGCGAGTGGAGCGCCTCCACCACCGGAGCCGCGGCACCCACCGCCTCCTGCACCAGCTTCGTCCACGCAGACCGCTGTGTCGGCCTGAGGCTATACCGGCCGCGGTGCCGCTTGTCGATCTCGATCCAGGCGTAGTCGCTCTCGATTGGGTCCAGCCCAAGCTGGCTCAGCCTGTCGTGGTGGCGAGAGAGCTCCGACGAGACGGCAGCTCGAGCGTCGGACACAAGCTCAGCGCTCAGGCCGGCGTCCGGGATGACGGTGAAGCCGGCGTCCCGCAGCTCGATGGCGTGCTGGAGCAGTCCGCCGGGCGCCGTCCTCGCAGTGCCGCTAGCGAGCGCGAGCGCTGCAGAGCTGGTGCTGAGGCAGAGCAGCATCTCGTCGTGGCTCCAGGGGTATAGGATATTTCCGGGAAACTTGGCATAATTTTTTTCTTTTTCACGGTGTACTCGTCTGGAAACCAATTGCACGCCCTCTCCGACCCGGCGACCATGACGGGGTAGGTAGGGGCAGGGCCCCGCGTTGGTGTCCAGTAAGTCCGAGCTGCCAGGCTGTTCGATCGTCTCGCCCTCCCTCACTGATGTGTTCATTGGGGGGGGTCATACGGTCTCGGGCACCGCACCCGTGCTGCCACAAAGCACAATGTGCTGCCACAAAGCACCACTAGCGATTTCGCGCGGAGGGCGTAGTGAAGTGCTGGGGCGCTCACTGTGTGTTATTCGGGTGGGGATCCGGGTCCTGTGGGCACCCTAATCTTGGCTCTTGCGACCTCAAACCCGGAACTGTATGGGTGGTCCTGACGTCGACAGACGCCCGAGGACCACGGTGAAGCCCGAGCCGGAACGCGTCGACAGGTCTCGTCTGAGCCCGTGGCGGTCGCCGGCTGAGTCTCTGTGGCACGGACCGGTACCTCAGGCGTCACCTCCGCAGCCTCAGGTCTCACACTCCATCACCTCCGACGGGACGCCGTCGGTGGCACGCTCAAGTTGCCGAGCCCAAATCACTGTGAGAGTCGTGATTTCTTGTTGGTTAATAAAAATCTCTCCGAGTTTGTGTCCGCTACATCTCGAGTACGGCGTCGAGCCTACCACTCCAGTTGCAACAACACACAACAGACGACAGGAGGTAGGTAGGTAGGTAGGAAGGTGAAGAACAGCCAGGCTCGGACTGGACACCAACGCGGTATGGGTGGACGCGGAGCTAGAGGATTGGTTGGTGAACAGTCTGTCTGTGTCTAGGTTAGAGAGCAAAAGGGATAGAGGGAAGAAGGGAGGGAGGGGCGTTTCGTTCTAAATTGATGAGAGGACTAGCACTCACCGCCCGCACACTGCCGCCCATCCCTCCAAACGGGCTTCTTGGGTGGAAAGAGATGCCACCGGGATCTCCCGGTTACTCAAAACGGTCTGGTTTTAGTTGGCTGGCTTTCCAATGTGGCGAGGGGGTGGAGGAGGGGGCGGAGGCCCGAGGTCCCGATCCCCGCCAGACGACCGGCTCTCCAAGCGGCAGCGTCGCGCGCGGAGCCGGAGCCGCAGCCCGGGCGGCGACGGCGAGGGCGGCGCGTTGCGTCACTTCCAGGAGCACAGCGCAAAGCCGGGCTTCAAGAAGCTGCACCACCCGGAGCGGGTCGCGGAGGAGCTGCTCGCCTTCCGCGAGGCCGCGCGCCGCAGCCTCCGCCAGCTGGTCGCCGAGCTCAAGCAGGGCTCGCTGCTCGGCCCGAGACTCGCGGCCGCGCCCTCCAGCGCTCTCGGCGCAAACGGCGAGAAGCGGCGGTCAGAGGCGGAGAACGGGGAGGCGGATGAGTCGGGTGGCGACGGCGAGGCCCTCCCTGACGCGGCGCCTCCCGCCGCCGAGGACGGCGGCGCGCCGCTCCAGCTCCGCCCCGCCGCGCCGGCCGTCGGCAGCGTCGTGGTGGACGGCTTGACGCCGGGCTCGCTGACTCCGATGCTGCCGGCGCTGTACTCCGCCCTCGCGGGGGGGGGGGAGGGCGCGGCCGCCGAGGGGAGCGGCCTCACCGCCATCGCCGCGGCGGAGCCGATCGGAGCCGATCGCGACGGAAGCGGCGAGGGCGCCGGCTCGCTCAAGCTGCGGCTGTGGGCGGGGTACGCGTCGGGAGGCGCGGCGAGGGCGGCGGCGAGGGCGGCGCAGGAGCTGCCTCAGCTGGCGGAGCTGGCGCCGAGGGCGGCGCTCGTCAAGGCGGTCGAGCGCGTGCCGCCCCTGCTGCGCACCGCCCTCCCCCCGCAGCGGTCGGCCGCGGCGCTGCTGCCGCCGCTGCGAGAGCTCTGCGCGGCACTCGCGGCTCGGGCGGCGCTTCCGACGGCGGAGGAGGCGGCGGAGGAGGCGATCGGGCGCGAGGCGGTCGAGGCGCTGCCGTGCGAGTCTCGCCTCCACCTCCTCCTCCTCTACCTTCGCCGCGTCCTCGCCTTTGACGTGCGCCGCCAGCAGCGCCGCCGCCAGCAGCGCCCGCGGCAGCCTTCCCTCGCCCGCCTGCGCGCGCGCCCCAGTCCCAACGTGCGCGCACGCCCCGCCCCGCAGGCCCAGCTGGCGGTGCAGCACGGCTCGCCGGCGGAGCTCATTTCCTCCTCGGGCGAGATCTAGCCGAGATCTCTACCCGAGATATGGCGGGGCTCGTCTCCTCCTCGGGCGGCCGCCGCCCACCCCCCCCCCGGAGCCTTTGCCGGAGCCTTCCCGGAGCCTTCCTGGAAGCCTCCCCGCAGGCGAGTGGGCCGCCGCCGCCTTCCCGCGCCCCGAGCGCTCCACGCCCGATGTCGCGAAGGCTGCGCTCGAGCGGTGCGCCGCGCACCAGGCGTACTTGCAGGCACCGCATCCCTTTCCCCGCTCCCCCGCACCGCTGCCGCCACCGCTCCCCCGTTGCCGGTTGTTTGCCTCAGCTGACTGTCGCCTCTGTGCGCGCCGCAGGCGCTCGGCCAGCAGGACAAGGAGACTGCTGCGGCGGCGGTCGCGGCGGGCGAGGCCTTCTACTCCGCCAACTGCCTCCAGATCGAGGAGGGGAAGTACCGCTGCCCCCTCTCCGGCAAGGTCTTCCGAGGGCCAGCTTTCGTGCGGAAGCACATCGACAACAAGGGGGCGGCAAGTTCCCCCCTCCCCCCCCCCCCCTAGCCTGCCCCCGCCGCCTCCCCTAGAGATCTCGAGAGGGCGAGCGGCGCCGCGAGGCGTGTTGAGCCCCCCCCCCCCCTCCCCCAGCCCCTTCCCCCTTCCCCCTTCCCCTCCAGGCACGCGTCCAAGCTCGACGCCGAGGTTGCGGCCGCCTTCGAGCCAAAGTTCAAGGCCTACTTCCTTGCCGCTGACGCACGCGTCTCGGCGCTGCGCGCGCTCGAGCCGCTCCGCGAGCCGCCCTCGCCGCCCTCGCCTCGCGCGCCTCGCTTCGACGAGCGGCGCGGAGGAGGAGGCCGCCTCTCGGACGAGCGCCGCTCCGGAGGCGACGACCGGCGCGGAGGCGGCGACGACCGGCGCGGAGGCGGCGGAGGAAAGGGCGGAGGCGGAGGCGGTGGCGGCGGCGGGCGCGACCGGGATTGCTTCAACTGCGGCCAGTCCGGGCACCTTGCCCGGGACTGCCCCAACCCGCGCCCGGGGCGCGGCGTGGGAGGCTCGGCGGCGCCGCGCCCGCCGCCCGCCGGCGCGCTGGTCAGCAGCCGGCCGATCAAGTCGTACATGGACCTCGACGCTCCAGAGGAGGACGACCTCTTCACGTAGACCGCCGCATGAGGTGCCACCGACACGTGAAGTGTCGGCGGGAGAAGGCCAGTCCGCCCGGCGGCACCGCTTCGCGACCGCGCTGCACCGCGGGCACAGCGTCTCGCACGCTCCTATCGGCGAGAGGCGCGACCTCTCACAAACAACACCTTTGTCTCTCCGACGTGGAAGAGAGAGAGAGAAACCAAAGAGTGCAAAGACGAGTTGATAAGATGTGTTGCATCTTCCGGTGCGCGGCGCGCGCGGGCCTGGGGTTGATTTTTCAGTTTCAAACTCGTACTCGAGTTTCGAGCGCGCGAATCATTGAGCGGTGTCGAGCCTGTCTGCTGAGAGTGCTGTGTCCTGTGCGAGAGAGTTGTTTTCTTGTTAAAATTCTTCCCTCGCTGTGTTGTGTACCTTGTGTTAATCAGTTATGTTAGGGTTGTTGCACGAGTATATGGGCCAAAAGCGTCGAAAATGTCCGAAAAAAGCGTGTCTCGAGTTTGTTGCAGCTCCGCAGCCTGCGCGCGCTGCCGGGACGCACCGCTTGCTGGATCTGTGCACTCCCTGGGTCCCAGGGAGTGCACAGATCCAACAGGAGTGAGTAGGCTCGACGCCGTACTCGAGATGGAGCTGCAGAAAGTACGCCGCCGAACGTGCCACCGACGGCGTCCTGGCGGAGGTGGTGGAGTTTGAGAACTGAGGCTGCGGAGGTGACGCCTGAGGTACCGGCCGTGCACGGCGACTCAGCCGGCGACCGCCACGGGCTCAGACGAGACTTGTCGACTCGTTCCATCTCAGCTTCACCGTGGTCATCGGGCGTCTGTCGACGTCAGGACCACCCATACAGCTCGCGGGTTTGAGGTCGCAAGAGCCAAGATGGTGGCGTTTGGACATCCCAACCATCACACAAGACAGCCTGTAGGTGATGGCGGGACGGCGCAGTGTTTGTGGCACTCGGCAGTAGGCACCCGCGGCACGGCCCCGCTGTCGGCTCTCGCGGGCTGCAGAACCGGCCCCAGAAGGGGACGGTGAGGGCGAGTGTGGCAGCTCCTGCGCTAGTATGGGCACCCTCCATCACAACACTACTGATCCTGGTCACCAGAGCTGCCAGGAATAGCGTCAGGAGCCGGTAGGAGTCAAAACCCCTCATATTTGAGACATCGTGGCCCACATATACTCGTGCAACAACCCGTTAGTGCCAGCGCGCGCGCGCGCGCGCCATGGTAAATTCTTCGCCCAGTGTTGTGCAAGGCACTAACACAGGTACACCACGAAAAGAAGAATTTTGTACCCCCAAAATCCTGTCCTCCATTCCTCGTTTGGTTGTCTGTTTTCTGTTTGGACACTGCAACGCAAGGCCCCCCGACCGCGTCGAACTCATCGGCGCGGGCTCTCTCGGCTACGGGACCGGTCCCAGCTTCGGCTGAGGGCTGACAAGGGACAAGCAAGCTGCCGAGCCCAAATCACTGTGAGAGTCGTGATTTCTTGTTGGTTTTCTAAAATCTCTCTGTCTGACACAGGTACACCACGGGAGCCGCAGTCCCGAGCCGAAATAAATAAATAAAAACGGACACCTCTCTACTGTGAGATGGGTAAAAAGGAACAGCAACAGGTCCCCGCCCGTGGCCGTGCGATCTTTGTGCAGGGTTCTTTGTGGGTGTGGTCGGCGGCTAGCCGGGGTCGTCCTCCCGATGCGCGATGGGGCCCAGAGTGTCGTGCGAGGAAGAAGAATTAAAAGGAAAGCTTCCAGTGCGCGCCAGTCCCGTGCCTAGTGTCGTGCGAGGGAGTTTTGTCGTAAAATTCTTCTTTTCGCCTAGAGCGCGAGTAAATTCTTCTTTTCGTTTTCGCGGCCCCCGGGGGGGCCCCTTTGTTGTCCCAAAGCCCATAAAAGCATGCCTGCCCGTCGGCCCGTGCTCAAAGTCGTAGCCAGGCGCACATCCGACTCCTGTCCCTTCCTGAACGAGGAGCTCGCATTCGAGCTCTGTCCGGGCGAGGTAGTCTGGCTAAGAGGCGCCTCCGGGGCCGGCAAGTCGTACACGAGCCTGCACCTCGCCGGGCTCGCGAAGCTTCCCGGCGCAGAGATCCACATGGAGTGGGATCCGAGCGTCGCCGCCGCGCAGCGCATCGGCTTCCTATTCCAGAAGGGCGTGCTCATCGACTCACTCTCGCTCGCCGCCAACCTCGCGCTCGCAGCGGAGGCCGCCGCCCTGCCTGCAGACTCGGACGCGATCGCGGCGGCGCTCGAGGCTGTGGGTCTCTCTCCCTCGGCCGACGGGTCAAAGATGCCGGGCGAGCTCAGTGGCGGCATGCTGCGCCGCGCCGCCCTCGCCCAGATCCTCGCGCAGCGCAAGTGTGCGGACCCTACGGGACAGAGAGCCACTGTGACCGACTTTGAGACGGAGAGGCCTCTCCGCGGCGTGGGCGGTGGCTTGAGCACGCTGCGGCGCCTCCGCCTCAGGCGCGTCGTGATTCTGGACGAGCCGTTTGTCGGGCTCGACCCTCCCGTGGCGGGGGAGATCACCGCCCTCCTCAAGCGGGTCGCCGCAGAGCACGGCATCACTCTCCCGCTCCGCCTCCTCTCGCAGTGCGACATGCCTCTCTTTACGGATGCCGCCGTGAGCAGGCATCTCCCTCCTCCTCATCTCGCACATGGCCGAGCGCGCCGCCGCCCTCTCCCCTGCGGCCACCGTCTCCCTCGAGCGAGCCAGGCGCGAGGCGGGGCATAGGCCGCCTCTGGGAGGGGCGGGCGGAAGGTTCAGGGAAGGCTCCACCGCTGTCTAGGCCCGAGGACGGAGACGCGGCGCGGCAAGACGCAGACCTGTCGGGACTGCGCTTCGCCGTGCGCTGCGCTGCTCTCTCTCTCTCTCTCTCTCTCTCTCTCTCTCTCTCTCTCTCTCTCTCTCCCTCGCACACATCTCTCCGCTCTCTCGCACACATCTCTCCGCTCTCTCGGCGACACTCTGGCGGTGCGGCAGGTTCGCGCCTCGCGCCGGTTCGCCGACTACTTCTTCATCTCCGCGCCGCTTATCGCGATGGCGTTCGCGGCCACCGGCGCCGCGCTCTCGATGCTCCTCGCCGACATGCTGCAGCGGGTAGACGTGGTCTGTGGCGCCTCCTCCTCGCCTCCGTCTCTCCCGCGAACCCCCCTCCCGCCGACTCCCCCCCACCTCCCCCGCCTCGCAGGTGCGGATCATCGCTACCTTCCTCACGCGCTACCTCGCGGGCAACCCCGCGCTGCCCCTCATCCTCCAACTCGTCGACGGAGTCGTCAAGCAGAACGAGGCCGCAGCCAAGCGGAAGCTCTACGCGCTCGCCATCGGCGCAGCCTCGCGAGGCCTAGGCTCCTTGCGGAGAGCGCGTCTCTTCACAGCCCGCGCTGTGGAGCAGGGTCCGTCTTCACGATCGAGCTCGGCCCGCTGCTCACCGCGCTCCTCCTCGCAGGCCGGATCGGAGGCTCGTACGCCGGCGAGGCTGGTAGGACGGCCTGCTCCTCCGGCTTGCGCTCGACGCTTCATGGGTGAGTGGTGCGTCGCAGGCGACGTCGCGATGATGGCCTCCACCTCGCAGGTCGACCTGCTCAAGGTGCTCGGAGTCGGGCCGACTTCGTGGACCTTCCTCCCCGCCCTGCTCGCCGCGGCACTCCGCACCAGCACACGCACACACCTCGCCACCCGGGCGCGGCTCTTCACGCGCGCCCCAGCCGTGAACAGGCTCTCGCCGCGCCGCTCCTCTCGCTGCTCGGCACCGCCGTCGCGCTGCTGATGGGGGCGGTGGTCGGCGGAGGCGGAGGGTTCGACATGATATCTCCCGACGAGTACTGGCGCGAGATGCGGCCGCTGCTGCTCGAGCGACCGGTGGCTGCAGCGCCTGCTCGAGCTCGCTGTGAGCGGCGTCTCTTCACAAACTCGCTGTGAGCAGGAGGGGCAGCACCTGCTCAAGTTCGCGCCGCTGGTCAACGTGTACCGCTCCCTCGGCTTCATGCTGTGCACGATGGGCATCTCGCAGCTCTGCTCGCGCAGCCGGCGGAGGCTGCAGCCGCGGCACGTGCCCCTCGTCATCACGTCGGCGGTGGTGCTCTGCCGCCCTGAGCGCCTCCGTCGTCGGCCGCGGAGGGCGTCTCTCTTCACACCTCGTCCTGTGAGCAGGTGCTGTCGTGCCTCGCCATCCTCTTCCTCGACTGGGGCTTCTCGCAGCTCTTCGTGCGGCTGGACGGCGGCGAGCCGCTCGAGAGAGGCGCGCCGGCCCGAGGGCTCCGAGAAGGCTCAGGGCGGCTCCTCCTCCCGCGTAGGCGAGCCGCTCGGCGGGGAGGCGGACTTCAGCTTCGACGGCCCGGCGGGCGAGGGGGGCGGGGCCGGGGAGGGGGGCGAGCTGGCGGGCGGAGGGCAGGCCGATCTCGGCGGGGGAGAGGCTGACCTCCTCGAGCAGGCAGGCGGGGACGGGAGGCTGGGCGATGGCGCCGAGGGCGGTGCGGAGGAGGAGTACGACGAGTTTGCAGACGAGCTCTGACGATGTGAGCGCTGTTGTAATATGAAGTGTATTTTCGGTACGGACGACTCGATGAGAAAATGGAAGAGTCTCGCGCAGCAGTCCGCTCTCTTGTGTGGCTACCGAGCCTTGGATGCTACACTCCACAACTGACGGTACACTGACGGTACTCCTTCCACTTAGCTCTTTAGCCGTCCGACCTCACATGCTCCGGCGAAGGACTTTCTCGCTGTCTTTCACACGCCAACCAACGTCGCAACGGCCAGTGGGAGAGCGGGAGCACCGGCGGAGAAGGCGATGCTGGCTGTGAGGGTGATGCCGGCTCCTAGGACGATCATATGTAGTTGTCTCTGGGGATCAATGCCCGAATTCGGCAGCGACGGGGGCGCTGCCTGCAACGAGATATAAACCACCCACCGCAACCGACTCGTCGGGCGCTCGTACAACAACAGGGCGTCCTTTCAGACTTGGCGCTGGCGATTTTTCTTTTTCACATTTCGGCTGCAAGCTTAAAGACGGGGAAATTGTCAGTCGCAACCAGGTCGGAACGCTCCGAGTAAACACGGGAGCTAGTGCCTCCCGCGAGCACCGGGCACGGCCGGCGGCCGCTAACACCAAAAGCTCCTGTTGGCACCCGCTCCCGCTCCTGCTCTGACCACGCCGCTGCGCACGCCGTAGTCGCTGCAGAAGGGCGCGTCGAGCGAGGCGAAGGGCATGACGCAGTCGCACGCCGCTGCGCGCAGGGAGATGGCTGTGCGAAAGAGAGTGCTCGTCATCTGGCCGACGAGGAGGGCGCACTCGGCCAGCAGCATTACGTCGACGGTCGCCTGCCACGCCTCACGCGCGCTGAGGTGCGTCTCGCCGGTGGCTACGCGACGCCTCACCGTCCGGTCGATGATGCGCGCCGGCGTCGCCCTCTGGCGCGTGACGTTGGGCAGCCACAGGAACTGGAACTCCGTGCTGCGCCTCGCCTCGTCGAGCACCTTCTCGCTATCCGTCGCCAAGTAGACCGTCCAGATGCCGTGCGCCCGGGCATAGCCGCGCACCCTTGCGAGGTGCCGCTCGAGCGAATAGCACGTCCGGCCCATCCTGCGGCGCTCGCGCGCCAGGCAGGCGTCGCCGTGCCGCACGTGGACGCCGATGACCGGCCCTCGACGAAGAGCGGCGCCGAGCCTAGAAGCTTCCAGCGCCGCCTTGATGTCGGCGGCAAGGGCGGCGTTGGGTCGCATCACCCACGAGAGCAGTTGCGAGGTATACCAAAACCATCCGCGGCTGCGGAACGCGACCGGGATCAGCTTGGGGCCCTGCAAGCTGAACGACTCGTCGCGCACAAAGCCTTCATCTTCCAAGTCCAAGTGGTTGTGTTGGGCGCCCGAGCCGCATAGTTCGCCCTCCATCCGCTCAAAGAAGCATGAGAGGTCTCTCGCGCGGCAGCTTGGGCCGGTGAAGGCGGCCAGCGATGGCGTGCGCAGGGCGGTGCCGCTGCGCACAGCGTGCGCCAAGGGCTTGAGTACGCCGTGAACCGTCGAGAAAAAACCGGCCGGCAGCAGGCTCGTCGTCGCGGCCTCTCCGTGGCCACAGCCTGCGCCGCTGCTCTGCACGCGGGCGAGCAGTGAAAACAGGTCGGACCGCGAGGGCCACGATGCGCCGCCCGTGACGCGCTTGGCGCTGCAGGTCTGCCCAGCCATCGGGAGGTGCTCTAGTTCACGAAGCATGAAGTCGGCATTCTCGACACACAGTGAATCCTCGCTGCCTCTTCCCATCTGCCCCGCGAAGGAAGGTCTGGTCACGGCCGAGATCGGCTCGTACTGCAGGTCGATGCTACGCTCGTGCAGCCTCGGGCTCCAATAAATTGCGAACTCGCCTACTGCCGACGAGGACTTGAGCAGGAAGTCACACCTCGAGAGGAGTAGCGCGTCGAGTAGAACGTCAAGGCCCTTGCGATAGTTGTCGCGCAGCCGAGTGTCGAGAAAGGCGTTCCCCTCGCTACGGAGCGCCTCTCGAGCGACCACGCGTGCGCCGTACCGCTGCCGCATCCACTGCAGCGCCGCCGGAGAATCGGTCGCCACGAAGAGCGTGGCGTTCGGATGCGAGGCGAGGTACGAGTCGATGTGTGGCGCGTAGCTGCGCGGGGGCACGATAGAACCGCCAATTGCGGGGTCCTTGTCGGTGCCGCGCACGTGGAGACCGAGCACCGGCCATCGGGCAGCCAGCTCACGCCGCCAGAAGTCGTCGACTGCGTCCTGCACGTGGGGCTTGAGACTAACGTGCTTCAGCAGGCCGTGCGCGCGGAGGCGCATCGACCGGTACCACGCCTCGTCGTAGCCGCGCTTCGCAGAGTGAACGCCATAATAGTAGGCGAAGACCGAATCGTCACCGCGCTGGTGCAATTTCCAAAGTGCCTTACTCGGCAGCGCGTGGAGCACGTGCCCCGCGCCCGGCACGACATCGGAGACGGGCTGGAAGTACTGCTCCCACATGTTTGCGCCGTGGGCCGGGGAGTGGTAGAGGTTCGCTCCGCCAGAGGCGTAGTGGTCTCGCCCGTTCACCGTGCATGCACCAAAGTCGACGTGAGCGCCAATGCCGTGCTTGCGTGCAAACGCGATCTGGTTGATCGCAAAGAGGACGTAAGCGAAGAAGCCCGCGGAGCCATGGTTCATCTGGATGCGCAGCGCATGCCTGCTTCGGTTGCGGGGCAGAGCGCGCCACCACCCATGCTCGGGCGCGTCTGCGGCACCACAGTCTCGGCGAGGCTGCCGCTCTGTGGCGCCAACCCACCGGCAGCACTCACGCACTTTGGAAAGTTCGCCCGACGTCGTCGAGGCTTGCGTGGGCACCCGTATGGACTCCTCCGGCTCGCCCGCCGGGCGGTCCCAGCCCGTCGCTGTCCACAGCAGCGACTGCTCCTCTTGCTCCCACCGCGCAAGCGTCGCGCTGCGCCCTGCTAGTGCGAGCGCCGCCCCGCCCTTCGGAGCTCGCTTGCGCGTCCTGCCGCGCAGGTGAAACCTCAGTCGGCTGTGGACTGGCGGTCCCAGGGTGGAGTGCGCTGGGTCAGAGTGCAGCCGGGCGGCGCTGCCCAGCACCCGGAGGAGCACGCGCTTCAACCGCGTCATCATGAGGGTGTTATTGCGCCCGGTCCACGGCCCGCCAGCCGGGCAGGGCGGTTGTAGCGGCGGACGCCATGAGCCATTCCGCGAGGGCGAGAAAGCCGAGCTCACCTCGCTCAGCGGCGCGTGTTCCAAAGGCAGCGCCTCCTCCTCTCCCAGCAGCAAGTGCCACCCAAGCTCCAAGCCGATGCCTGCGAGCTTACCGCTGTCGTTGCAGTACAGGCGCGAGTCGGCGAAGCCGGACTCTCTGCACAGTCGCACGCGGCAGCCGCGCCCCGGACAGCTTGGGAGCGTCGGGCCGCACAGCCTCGCACGGAGCTCGGGAGACTCCATTGTCGCTGCAGCGAGCGCCAGCCGCAGCTTTTCGGGTCCGGTCGCTGTGATGCGGTGGCGGGCGGCGTGGAATATGGCGTAGCTGGCCGTGGCGGAGCGAATCAGGTCGTGCTCAGGCAGGATGACCGCCCAGACGTGGTGCGACATGCACAGGTCCCAGCACCCGTTCCCTTCCATCGTACTGTACCGCCGGCCGTAAGAGGCAAATGGCAGCGCCGCCACGTGCCGCTCGAGAAAATCGCAGCCGAGGAAGCGGCGGGTGTGCTCGCGCCAGCCGGCTTGCATGAACAGGGTCCTCTCGGCCAGATCACCCGCTTCCAGGGACCACAGCATGTGGCGGAGGTATACCGCAGACTCAAAGCCGCGGTTCTCGACAGCCCGGCGCACCACCGGCACATCAAACCAGTAGGCCCATGGCGATGAGGCATAGCGAGGCCGACCAAAGGTCGCCTCTCCCGTGCTCATGCTGCTGCACGTCTCGTAGAGAAAGACTCTGAGTCGTACGTGCGCTGGAAAGTGGACCAGCAGCTCCGGAAGCCAGCTCGATACGGGCTCGTTGCACCTCGCAATCACAAGGTCAGTGCTCGGGTAGTGGAGTCCGTCTTCAGCAGAGAAGAGGCTGTGCCACCCGGCCCCCAGCGGCACTCTCTGGCGGACATGCTCCCTTCCCCACTGAGACCTGCCCGCCAGGCTGGCAAAGACACCGACCTGCTGCGGAAGCAGCCGCCGCAGCCTCTCAATCTGTGGCTGGTGGGCGTCACATAACGGTGGTGCGGCTTCCCACGCGGTGCAGTTGAAGGAGGCGCAGAGGGGAGTGCTCCAGCGGAGAACGTGGAGCACTGCGGTCAGCGCGCATGGCATGGCTTGCCATCCCAGGCTCGAGCTCATCATCTGCTCCGTCTCTGGGTACCATGCTGAGCTGCAGCCCCGCCGGCCGGCGCGCGGTCGGCGGGCGCTTGGCCCGTTTTCGTTCTTTTTCTTGCCAGTGTTGTGTACACACGTCATGGGACGGACGGGTGTCAACAAAATTGTAACGGCGTGTCGGCCCGCGCTGCACCTGCAGCAGCGCAGCAGGCGCATTGCCTCGATTCCGCAATGCGCAGCGTTCGAGGCAAGCGCCTCAAGGGCGGTGAGGGGGACGAGGACGAGGACGAGGACGAGGATGAGGAGGCGGACATCGAGATGGAACCGGAATTCGCTGCTGAGCTCGAGGGACTCCTCGACCAGATTGACTCGGACAGCATGCAGGACCGCGAGTTTGCGGTGCTTGAGCTCGCGAGGCTGGTCGTCGCAATCGATGGCGAGCTAGCGCGCTCCTTTGGCCAGTACCTCCGCGTCTCTGGCATGATTGAGCCCCTCGTCGTGCTGCTCGACGAGCCGCTTCCGGCAGTGCACGACGCAGCCCTTCTCGTGATCGGCTTGATCGCCTCGGCGACGTTTGACCCGGCGGCGCTGAGGACATGCAAAGCTGCCAGCGAGTTTGATGCCATCCCGCGCGTGCTCCCCCATCTCTTCTCTGAGAGGCCCGCGACGAAGCTCCTGGCGGCGATGGCAATGCAGCACTGGTGCGAACACGGTCAGATGGCGCGGCTGGCGCTGAAAAAGGGAGCGGGCAGAGCGCTGCAGCGGATGCTGGCGGTGCAAGGAACGGCTGTCGGTGACGACCCGACCAACGACAAGATCAGCCGCGTCGCCGCTAGGACGCTCACGAGCATCGCCACTGTCAACCGCGACGCGGAGAGCGCTTATTCGATGCACAGAGCGACACAGGAGAGCCTCGAGGCGCTGGCGCGGCTGGACGCCACCCTAATCATCCAGGCTGGGGCGCGCCGCCTTTTGGCTCGTCGCCAGCCCCCTCCGGAGAATCGGCCGTGGGCCAGTAGCCTGGCCGAGGCGATCGCGGAGCGGCGCAAGTTTCACAGCGCCGCACTACTGATGCAGACGGCGCTACGGCGCAGGGTGGCGCAGAGGCGCATGGTCGAGCAGCGCGGCGCGTGCCGGAGGATCCAGGCGGCGGCTCGCTTACGCCGCGTGGTTCGGAGGCGCGCAGTGGCCACGCACACGCAAGGCGAGGCGGCGGCGGCGGCAGCGGCGGCGGCGGCAGCGAGAGAGGCGGCGACGCGAGCGTTGCGACTCAAGGCAGAGGCGGACGCGTCGCTCGCGGCGGTGACGGCAAAGGCCATGGAGATGGCGGCCGAAGCTGCGAGGGCAAAGCGGGAGGAGGCGGCACGGGCGGAGGAGGCGCGTGCCCGGGCGGCCGCCGAGGCAGCGGAGGCTGCGAGGCGGGAGGCGGAGGCTGCGAGGAGGACGGAGAGGCAGCGCGAGGCGCTCCAGAGGGCGGACCTTGAGCGAGAGCGGCAGGAGGTGCGGCTTATCATGTCAAGACTCGAGGCGGAGGCGCCAAAGCTCCGCTTGGCCGCCAGGAAGGCGTCTGAGGCGGTTGAGGCCTCCGAGAGGCAGGTGGAAGGGCTGCGGGCGAAGGGCGCCCGGGCGAGGGAGGGCAAGGCCGCGTCGGCGTTGCAGCTCAGCCTTCAGAGGGCGCTTGCCCAGCTCGCCGCTTGCCAGGCCAGAAAGGCGGTGCGGGTCGCCCTGGTAAAGGCCTCGAGCGCGGAGCTCCACTTCTCGCACGCTGCGCTTGAAGCCGTCTCGCTCGGCCAGATGCGGAACCTGCGCGAGCACGCCCATCAGGCGGCGCAGCTGCGCGCAAAGACGCTCGAGGCGGCTCGCGCGTCTGGGGCGCTCGGATCGCCGTCGCCGAGCCCGGCCGCGCCCCAACCGGAGGCCACGCCGCCCAGCGGCCCCGCGACCAGCACGAGGGCGGCGGCCTCTGAGGTGGTGCCGGTGCGCACTTCGACCCTCAAGCGCGAGACGTGGCAGGCGTTGCAGGCGGGCGAGATGGGGGGCGTCGACGCCGCGACAGTAAAGGCGTGGCGCGACGAGATGAGCGAGCTCGCGGCGGCACGCCGAGCGAACGACGCCAAGCGACGCGTGGCACGCTGCGGCTCGTCCTCCGTGGTCAGGGCGTCGCATCCGCACCCGTGGGGCAGAGGAGAGAGCGCTACCCGGAGCCGAGGCCCGAGCGCCAAGGCTCAGCCGCCCGGAGCGAGTGAGGATGATGTCTCTGCGAAGGACCTCGCGACCGTCAAGGCGGAGGCGAAGCACCGCGCCCTGCAGCGGGCGCGGGCCAGGCACCGGCTGGCGGAGAGTGCTGAGCGGGCGGCCATCACGCGGGAGAGGGCGCGCGAAAAGCAGATCCAGGCGGCGCTGGAGCACCAGATCCGCAAGGCGCGCGTGGAGGAGCGCGCGTGGAAGGACGCCACGCGGCGCGTCGTCGCCAACCGGAGACGGCCACCCGCACCTGGACCTCTGCCGCAGCAGAGGGGTCCCTCTTCGGAGCGGCACGGTTCGGGAGGAGCAGCCACGCGCAGCAGCGGCCGGGAGGGGATCCACAGCGGCGGCACTAGCGGCCGGGAGCGCCGACGCAACGGCGGGACTGGCGCGCGGGGACAGGCTCCTCCGGAGGAGGCGGCTGGCGCCCGGAGCCTCGCTGCTCTGGCCAGCTCGAGAGCTCCCGCCCCATCCTTGGCCGCCGCTTTGCCCAGTCCTTGCCTCGTGGCCGACCCGCGAACGCTGCCCGAGCAGCTGATGGTACCGTGGGCGATCCTCCCTCGCCGAGTCCGCGGCCTCGCGATGCGCCACGGATACACGCACGTCTCGTGGGACCTCGAGACGATGGCGCTGATCCAGCAGACGAGTGTCAGGTACCGGCGCGAGGGTGCCGACCTTAGAAGCGGCCCGCGGCCGAAGCTGCGTGAGAGGGGGGGGCGCGCCGCAGCCAGTGGCTTGCATCACCCGGAGGTGCGGGCGACAACGGGAGCGCGGACGCGAGGTCAGTGACATAGCTCGTAGGCATATAGAAGAAAACGTGAGCTGAAAACGCGGAGAAAAAGGCAGGCGCATGATTGAAAAAAGAAACAATCAACTCATGCACCAACTCCAATTGCTCCAACCGAAAAGGGACACACACACGGGTGTATGGAAAAGAGAACACGCCCAGCAAAATGGACTCGCGCCAAGGAGGGTGGAGGAACGGCACAGAACGTCACCATGCAGGAGCTTTCCGCATTCCGGGAAGGGGAGTGTGCGGGCTAGCCATCCTCCACGTCCCTCGTCCGGCAACGTCCGCATGCTCGCTCGTCCGCTCTCGGGCTGAGCTCTCGGGTCCTCATTCATCCATCCATGCCACGTCGCCCTTCCTCCTTCCCTCCGTCTCCTAAGGGGAAAGAAAACAAAACGCCGACAGAACTTGGCGCTGTTGTGCCCCTCCATACTCGTAGCTCTCCATGAGGCTCACTTGGGTCGAGGCTGCATACTAAAGCGAGTCTCGATGGCGCCGCGCGCCAACGAGCGCACCAGTCTGCTGAAGGGTCCATCGAGCAGCAGCGCGACAGTCGAGCAGCAGTCCTCGTTTGCTCCCGTCCGGGCGGTCCTGTCCTGCACCGCAGCCCTCGTCATGACGCTGGTCGCCGCGGCGCTGCTGGTCGCCGCCTCGCTGCAGGCCGCCGACCTCTCGGCGTGGCTCGCCACGCCCTCGCCGGGTTGGTCGTCGGCACCTCCGCCGCCCTTGGACAAGCCGTCCGGAGGCCCGCACCGGCCCAGGCGAGCGGCAGGCTCCGAGCCGTCACCGACCGCCGCCACCGCCTCCACGCATGAGACAACACTTCCACCCCCACCTCCTTGGTGGAACCGCCCGAGGAAGTGGAGGAAGGAGGTGATGGTCGCGAAGGAGATGGGTGGTGCCCGCGCGGCGCTGCACGGCGGCCAGGGCGAGACACTTCCGAGACACGGCCTTAGGGGCAGGAGGCAGGGCCGCCGGAACGCGAGCCAAGCGGGCAGGCTCCGCGTGCGCGGCGCGCCGTCGGAGCGGCTGCGGCTACGAGTGGCGAGGGCGAAGACTGTCGCCGAGGCGAGGGGCGGGAGGAGGGAGGCGAGGGATGCCGCAAGGGCCAAGTATGCTGCCGCGAGCGCCTCCCCCCGAGACCGGCCGGCGGCGAGGTCTGCTGCTGCTGATCGGTTCCTCGAGTCGGTGCACGTGGTGCCACAGGGAGGCGCGCTGGCGGTGGAGTGCAGCGGCGGGACGTGGGTGAGGCAGGTGTCCTTCGCTTCGTACGGCGCGCCGGTGCGGCAACCCAACGGCTCTCTGGCGGCGGACCCGGCCTGCCACCTCGACGAGACGAAGAGGGTGGTCGAGGAGGCGTGCCTCGGCCAGTCGCACTGCTGCCTCCCGATCGCAGACGCCAACTTCCCGCGCGACCCGTGCCGAGGCCGCGTCAAGTCGTTCGCCGCCGTCTTGGTCGGGTGCGACCTCCACTTGCCTCCGAGCAGGTACAAGACGCACTGCGCTCTCTCCGGCCAGCCGATGCTGCCGCAGGAGGACGTCGAGTTCCTCGCTGCCCTGCAGCTGCCGCCCGCACCCGAGCCCGTCCCGCCCGCGGTCGCGATCATGGTCGACACGACCTACCGGCCCGAGCTGCAGTCTTTCGTCGTGCAGAGCGTGCGCCGCGCCACCGGCTGGCCCGTCCAGATCTTCACAGGACCGACAGCCAAGCCGCAGCTCGCGACCCTCTTCGCGGCGGAGATCTCGAGCGGCGCTCTCTCGCTCACCGACCTCGGCGACGACTACATGGAGGATTGGGTGCGGCTCTCATCGATGATGCTCATCCCGACCTTCTGGGAGGCGGTGCGGGGCAAGAAGGCGCTCGTCTTCCAGCCCGACTCGGTCATGTGTGGCAACGCAACCCGCTCCATCGACCACTTCGTGCAGTACGACTACGTCGGACCCCCAATGTCGGGGCCGTGGTGGATGACGTCAGACCACCCTTCGCAGTGGTCCGTCGGCTGCGGCGGCTTCTCGCTGCGCGACCGCGCCCTCTCGATCCGGATGTCCAACACGCCCGCTTGCATCACCCCCGCCGCCGGCAAGTTCGAGGACCAGCAGCTCGGCACCATGTGGAAGCGGATCGAGGCGAGGTGTGCCGACGCCGGCATCACTGTCCGCCGGCCGTCGCGCTTCGAGGCGGTCGAGTTCGGCGTCGAGTACGACCTGCACATGGACGTGCTGCCTGGCGAGGCGCCGCAAGGGTACCCACCCCTCCCCTCCGGCTGCACCGCCAACTTCTACACCGGCCCAAAGTACCAGCCGCACACGACGAAGCGAAAGTGGCAGCCGACGCCGCTGCCGTCGCCGCAGCAGTGCCCCGAGCGCTCCTTTGTCCCGATGGCGTGCCACAAGTGCTGGTTCTGGAACCAGCGCACCTGGCGGTTCATGAAGCGGCACTGCCCAGAGGTGACAACGCTGCGCCAGCTGCGACGCAAGTACGAGGTTGGCACCGAGTTCACCGGCTTCCCCAAGCGGCCGAAGCCGACCCCTCGGCGCGGCGCCATCCCGCCCGACCAGCGCTACCTGCCGCACGACATGCTGCAGGGGCGGTGCCACGGCCGGTGCGAGGCGCAGCCGCCGCCCACCGGCTTCGAGAGGACCGTCCGAGGGGACTACCTGAGGAAGGGGTGAGGTGGCCGTTCGTGGATATAGAGCAGAGCGTGCCCGCAGAGCGCCCGCGGCGGGACATTTGTGTCTGTGTATGTGTGAGCGTGTGTGTGTGACACGGCTGACGGGGGTACGATCGTGCGCGCTCGCGATCAACTGAGAACTGTCGCCCGCGCTTCTTTTACGTCTTTTGTTTTGATCATCTTTATCTCTTTGACAAGCCATCTCTGTTCTCAAAAACCTACGCACACATTGGCTCAGCCGTCGGCCTCCCCCTCCTCCCTCCGCCGCCTCACGCACACCGGCAGGGAGTAGTGCTCGAGGGCCCACCAGTTGCGGCCTGCCTCTGCGCCCTCCCACGTGCCCGGCGCCACCGACACCCGGACGGGCTCGAAGGTGGCGGTCAGGCCGAGCGAGTGCAGGTGGCGTCGTGCGGCCTCGCAGTAGACGCGGTGCAGGAAGGCGTCGTGCGAGGCGATGCCTGCGTCCACGGCGGGGCAAGCGTCAAGGGAGGGGTGCGGTGAGGGGGTGTGCGGTAGGGTGGGAGGCGGCGCCGTTGAAGTACGAGTAGACTCCTCCGGGCCGGAGCAGGCCGGGCAGCAGCTCGTGGAAGCGGAAGAGCTCGTCGGCTCCTGCTGACAGCTCTCCGCCTCACGCCTCTGCCGGTGCGGGCGAGGGCGCGGCTACATGCGCCGCCCTCGGCGAAGGTGTCAAAGAAGATCGCGTCGAAGGGCGGGTCCGCCTGCTCACACCGCACGCCGCTTGGACAGTTGCCTCTCCGCACGGCGCCGCGAGGGTGTGCGCCGCCTCGTCGCACAGCGGCGGCAGCACGCCCTGCCACGTGCCCTGCAGGACAGTGACGCCCGCCCGCTCGAGCCAGCCGCCTCGCCGCATCGCGAGCAGCACGTCGGCGTGCGGCTCGACGATGGTGTGCGAGGCGGGGCGGCGCCGCTGCAGCGCCGTGTCCACGAGCCCGAGCCCGAACCCGAGGTTGAGCACGCGCGCCCCGCCCTCCTCCGGGCAGAGGGCGGCCGCGTGCGCCTCCATGAGCGGCGCCTCCCACGCCATCATCACCTGCACGCAGCTCGACGAATCTCAATGGGGGTAGCAGCCCGCTATCCCTCTCTCCCTCCCCGGCCCGTCAAGCTCGCCCATCAGAGTCTCGTGTCCAGGCCACATCTCGGCCACATCTCGGCCACATCTCGGCCACATCTCGGCCGCATCTCGGCCACATCTCGGCCGCATCTCGGCCGCATCTCGGCCGCATCTCGGCCGCATCTCGGCCGCATCTCGGCCGCATCTCGGCCACATCTCGGCCACATCTCGGCCGCATCTCGGCCGCATCTCGGCCGCATCTCGGCCGCATCTCGGCCACATCTCGGCCGCATCTCGGCCACATCTCGGCCGCATCTCGGCCGCATCTCGGCCACATCTCGGCCACATCTCGGCCGCATCTCGGCCACATCTCTCACCGGTCTGTCGAGCTCGTCCATCAGCCGGCCCTCCTCGAAGCGGAGGCGCTGCTGGAGGAAGTCCGAGTGGAGCGAGTGGCCGAAGCACGCCTCGTGAGCAGCCTCGGCAGGCCCGGCGGTAGCAGCAGCATCGTCACGGTCGGCGGCGGTCCCGCTGTCGGTGGCAGCGGTGACGGCTTCGCTTCGCGAGGCGCGGTCGACCTCCCAGAGGACGCTGCTGCTGCCCGCCTCGAGGAGCGCGTCGAGCAGCGCTGTGTTCCCGTCCCTCAGGGCAATCGCTCCCGCGGAGTGGCCGAACGAGTCGATGGCGTCCCACGGAGCGCCCGCCTCCATCAGCGCCAGCGCCTCGGCGGTTTGACCGGCGTGCACGGCAGCCATGAGCGCGCGCGGCAGCGCCTCGTCCTGAACCGCACGGACCTGCGCGAGCACACGACGCACCAGCGCTTCGCCGGCCTGGCCCTCGGCAGCCTCAGCAGCGTCTCCGATTGTCGCAGCCTCAGCAGCTTCGACGCCAAACGATGAGAGGATTTGTTGTGGAGAGGCCCCGGCAGCGAGCTGGGCAGCGACGTACTGGCGGCAGTAATCGATGCCGGCCTCGTCTGGGTCTGACGAGGACGGGAACATGGTTACAGGCATGCCCCCAGTTTGCGCCAGTCCGCGCCCTTGTCGTGCCAGTGTGCTGCTTGTATTTTAAGAATTCTTTCTTTCTTTACCTGCCATCCCGTTGACCTTGGACTTAATGACATGACATGCACCCACTCCTCTCCTTAAAATCCCTGTGTGGTGGCGGCGTGCCGTCCTCCCATCCCTCCCTTGCAATGTCGGCTTTCTTTCTTTATTTCTTTCTTGGGATGTCCCTCCCTTAGCTTCTTTCTTTCTTGGGATGTCCATTTTATTTATGTATAGAAAACAACAAAACATCTCTCTCTCTGTACTGTATAGACCAGGCAGGGGGAAGACTTTTACAACAACGGAAAAGAATTTCGCCGCGATCCCGTGCAAGTGTTGTGCGGAAAACTAGTGTACCTTTGTACTACTCATCAAACAACATACACTCAGAAACCCCTCTCCCTTTTCTCCCAGTAAGCTAAAAGTACGTCTCAGAGTAAGCTAAAAGTACGTACACCCAAACAGAAATCCGCGAAGAGCTAACTTATGGGAGGGAGTAAATTGTGGTAAATCTGTAATAAGATCCAAACTCGGCGCCGGCTAGAAGTCCTGCCAAAACTCGAGCGTCCTCGTGGCTCCTGCACACTCCCGCAACACTCCCCGCAACTGAGCCAGCAATGGGTGCGCACGAGTATGCGGCCGAGGCCGCAGGCAATCCCCACAGCTCCGTCGGCGACGGCCTCAGCTCGTCGTGGACCGCGGTCGGGCACGCCTGGGCTGGGACGAGCACCTCCTCAGAGCCCCCCGCCTCACTCTCGCCGCAATACACGGCAGAGCCAACCTCGGTTGACGTCTCGCTGCTCATGCAGCAGCAGCGGCAGATGGCCGAGCGCCCCAAGCAAATGGAGGCTATGATGGCAGCCCAGCAGCGCGCACACGCACTCGAGAAGGTGCGCATGGACCTGCAGCTGGCTACGGCCGAGGCGACCACCGTGGCGAAGGGCGGCGAGGCGCCTACGCTCCGCGCCAGCGCAAACTTCCTGCAGAGCTGCATCCACGTCCAGGCCATGTGGCGAGGCCAGGCCGTGGCGTCGCGCTACAAGACCGAGCGGCTCATGGCGACGGACATTCAGGCCGCCATGCGCAAGTGGCTCGCAACGCGGCAACTCGTTGCAGCGCGGGGAGCGGCCATCAAGCTTTCCGCCTCTGCGCGCCGCCGCGCCGCCGTCCTCGAGCGGGCGTGGCTGCTGCGCGAGAGGTCGGCTGCACGGGTGCAGGCGGCCTTCCGAGCGTACAAGGCGCAGGTGCTCGACGCGCCTGCGGTGACCAAGTCGCGTCTCATCGCACGGCGCCTGCATGAGGAGAGCCTGAACCGCGGCGCGCTTCGATTCGCCGAGGTGAAAAAGGCGGCGGCGGTGGCAGCGGTGCGGGTGGCAGCAGAGGCAGATGAGGCGGTGCTGGCAGCGGCGTTGACGGCGGCAGAAGCGGACAAGGCCGCTGCAGTGGTGGCGCGGGCGGCAGCAGAGAGGAGCAACAGGGCGGCGGTGGCGGCGGCGGTGGCGGCGGCGGTGGCGGCGGCTCGCGTGGAAGCAGAAACGGACCAGGCGGCAGCGTTGGCGGCAGTGCGTGCGACGGCAAAGGCGGACCAAGCGGCGGCGGTGGCGGCGGCTCGCGCGGAAGCAGAAGCGGACAAGAAGGCGGCGTTGGTAGCCACAGTGGCAGCAGCAGAAGCGTACGACGCCCAAACCGAAATTCCTGTCCCATCCTGCGATGGTGGGGCGGGACTGCCGTTTCAGCCGTCATCGCACTTCCGAGGGCAGCAGCCCGGCTACGTGTACCGTATCGGCCATCTGGGTCTGGGATACTACCCTGACAACGATGCGATGATGGCAGAGGCGGTGAGGGTAGGGCCGATTGCGATCTTTGGGACGGCGGGCATCTGGCTGATGCTCCTCCTCCTCGTGCGGCCCGACGACTGCGCCGCGCTGCCCAAGGTCGTCTTCTCCGAGGCGCCGCTCACGCGGAAGAAGAAGCTCGCCCTCGCCGCAGTCGCGGTGGCGGTCACCCTCTGGGCCTTCCTCTCCGCCCCACCTCTCAAGGCCACGTTTGGGGACCCCGCCATCGTCGGTGTCGCCCTCGTCGCCTTTGCCTTTGGCTCGGGCTTCCTCGACAAGGCGTCGTCGAGCTCGCCGCCGTGGCGTGACGCGATCAACTGAGAACCAGCATGTCGCGACTGCTGTGTAGGACGATTACAACTCAATGCCGTGGCACCTGCTCACGCTGATCGCGGGCGGCAACGCGCTCGGCCTCGCCGTGCAGGAGCCGCAGCTGATACCCGAACCCCACCTCGCAACACCCGCTAACCTGCCCCGGACGCGCCCGGCCAGGAGTCGGGCTTGCTGCAGCTCATCGCGGACCACGCCTTCCACGTGCTCGGCACGGACACGCCCCACTACCTGCTCACCAACATCCTCGTCGGCGGCATCCTCCTTGTCGGCAACTTCGTCTCGCATACCGTCGCCGCCATCATTGTCTTGCCCCTCGTTGCCACCATCGGCGTGCATGCAGGCCAGCCCGCACCGCTCGTCTTTTGCTGCGCGCTCGCCTGCTCGGCCGCGATGGCGCTGCCCGTCTCCTCCTTCCCCAACCTCAACTCGCTCACCGCGGAGGACGACCTCGGCAACGCCTACCTATCCGCCGCCCACTTCCTCGCCATGGGCATCCCCGCCACCGCGCTCGCCGGGCTACTCGTCGCCACACTCGGCTACGTGCTGAGCATGGGGGTGCTTGGGTGAGGAGCGGAATACAAATAGAGCGATAAATTCTTTTGCGCCTTGAGCTTGTTCGCGCCGGTGGCTGTGATAACCTCTGTTGCTCCACGCTGCTCGGTGGCGAACGCGGTTCACACCGAGCAGCTGTGGAAGCAATTAGACAAGCTTGTGGGCGCATGCTGGCCCGACAGCCTCGAAGATTACCAACCCCCGCCGAGGCGGCAGGAGTTCTCGGCGTGCCGTCTCTCCGCGCCGGCCAGCACGAGGCTCTCTGCGCGGCGCTCTCGGGTCGCGACTCGCTGGTGCTCCTCCCGACCGGCGCAGGGAAGAGCCTGTGCTTCCAGGGCGTGCCGGCGCTGTGCGGCGGTGGCTGCGTCGTCGTCGTCTCGCCGCTCCTCGCTCTGATGGAGGATCAGGTGGGAGCGCTCGTACGGCGAGGCGTGCGCGCACGCGCCCTCTCGTCGGCGCGCAGCAAAGAGGAGAACCGGGCGACGCTCGCGATGCTCGGCGAGAGCCCGCCACCCTTTGAGCTGCTGTACTGCTCGCCCGAGGCACTCGGCAGCGAGAAGCTCCTCGGCGCCGTGGGTGCATGCGCCAGGCGAGGCGACCTTCGGCTCGTCGCGGTGGACGAGGCGCACTGCGTCTCCACATGGGGGCACGACTTTCGCGCCTCGTACCTGCGGCTCGGAGGCAGCCTGCGCGCCGCGCTCCCGCCGTCGGTGCCGCTGATGGCGCTCACCGCCACCGCCACCGCAGCTGTGGCGCGGGACGTCTGCTCGAAGCTGCGGCTGCGAGACCCGGCGGCGGTGCGCGCCCCGATGGACCGGCCCGAGATCTTTTACGACGTGGTGCTCGTCGACGCGTTGCCGGAGGGGGAGACGCCGCTCGCGCACCTGCTGCGGAGGCTGCGGCGGGGCGAGGAGGGAGGAGGAGGGGGAGGGGCGGGAAGGGGAGGAGAGGGAGGAGGAGGAGGAGGCGGCGGCTCCGGCATCGTGTACTGCGCGACGCGCGAGTCGACGGAGAGCCTCGCCGCGGCGCTGTGCGAGGCAGGCGTCTCTGCGCGCGCCTACCACGCAGGGCTGCCGCAGGCGGAGAGGCAGGCGGCGCAGGGCGCGTGGCTGGCCGGGACCTGCCGGTGCATGGTTGCGACCGTCGCCTTTGGGATGGGGGTCGACAAGGCGGACGTGCGCTTCGTCTTCCACTGGCCCCTCCCGCGCCCCTTGCACGGGAGGCGGGCGGCGAGGAGGCGCGCTTCACTCGCCTCTGCCCGCGAACAGGTCCCTCCCTCGCTCCTTCGAGGCGTACGTCCAGGAGGCGGGCCGGGCTGCGCGCGACGGCAAGTCTTCGCCTCCCGAGCAGCAGCCCTACGCCGGCGCTCTCCACGCGCCTGAGCTGTGAACAGGCAAGCCGGCCGTCTCGAGCATCTACTACTCCGACGACGACGCGGGCCTCGCGCGCTTTCTCATCAAAAAGACGAGCGGCGGCGGCAGCGGAGGCGGAGGCGGAGGCGGAGGCATAGGCGGAGGCGGAGGCAGAGGCAGAGGAGGCAACGGCAGCAGCAGCGGCGGCGGCGGTGGCAGCAGCAGCGGCGGCCGCAGCAGCAGCGGCGGCGGCGGCGGGCACGTCGCTTCGAAGCTGGCGGCGCTGGAGGAGCTTGTGGCGTACTGCCGGTCGGGCCGCGGCTGTCGGCGGCGGAGACTCCTCTCGCACTTTGAGGCGGAGGCGGAGGCGGGGGCGGGAGCGGCGGCGCGGCGGCGGTGCTGCGACGCGTGCAGCCGGCCGGAGGCGGTGGCGCGTGCGGCCGGCGCGGTGGCGATGGCGTCTCTCGCGTCTGTGTCTGCGTCTGCGGGCTGGTGCCTCGCTCCCCGCGCGCGCGCGAGTGGAGACATGTCCAGGACGCGTCCCGGCATGTCCAACGCAGGTGCCCGGCCTCGCGCGTGCGGGACGAGGCGGTGGAGGCCGCACGCTTCACAGCTGTGAGGAGAGGCGGCTCACAGCGGCGCTGGTGTGAGCAGGCGGAGGAGGCCCGCGGCGCGCGGAAGAGGCCGCGCTGCGACCCGCACGACACTGGGCTGGTCGACGACGCGTCCTCGAGCGAGGAGGGGGCGGGCGGCGCCGCGGCGCGAGCCGCCGGGGGCCGGGAGGGAGGTTTCGCGCCGGTCCAGCCGCGCCTCCCGCGCGGCGGCGGCGGCAACGGCGGCGGGCGCGGCGCTCGTGCGGCGGGCGGGGCGGCGGGGCGGCCAAAGCTGGCCAGCACACTCTCCGCCCTGGAGGCGCGCGAGGCGGCGGAGGAGGCTCGGCCCAGCGGCGGGTCGAGGCTCAAGGAGCGGCTGAGATGGTAAAAGATATGTATGTATCTAAGGAGACGAGTCAACTTTGATGGGGGCAGCCAAATTTGGCCGTATAAAAGAGGCTGTGAACAACCGGCTCGAGACACCATGGCGGAGGCTTCCAGCGTGGTGAAGCCGCATCCCCGCCACACACCGGACTGGACGACCGCGCTCTCCACCAGCCGTACATGTATGTGTGCACACGTAGGTGCCGCTCGTGGTCACGCCCGAGTACGGCCTCGTCGTCCTCGTCGGCGTCGCCATGTTCCTGCTGCAGCAGATTGTGCTCGTGCTCCCCGTCGTGAAGCAGCGAATCAGCACCGGGATCAAGGCGCCGACGCTCTACCCGCGCGACGGGCAGATCAAGGAGCTGAAGCTGGCGCCGTACCAGGTGGAGAACTACATGCGCGCGCAGCGGGCGCACCAGAACAACGTCGAGTTCACCTCCGTCTTCATGGCGCTGTTCCTCGTCACCGGTCTCTTTCCCGAAGTGACGCTGCACGTCGCGCTCGCCGGCGCGGCGGCGGCGGCGGCCGCGTCACGCTGCTCAGCACCTTTTCGGAAGCCTCCGGTGGTCCTCTAGGCGCTTGGGTGGTGCTCTTCCGGCTGCTCGGAGGCGTCGGGTACCTGTTCGGCGTGAGGCAGATCGGCTCGCTCTTCCACCTGGGAGAGCTGTACATCCTCTACCTCGCAGCGACGCAGGCCCTCCGCTCTCCCATCCCAGACCACACCCTCAAGCGCCACCTCAGCCGCACATCTGTCTCCTCCCCTGCAGGCGTACGCCCTCGCCACGCCCGCGCTGCCCGGCCTGCTCGCCGCCTGCTCCTCGGCCGTCGCCGCGATGCGGGAGGCTGCCCCAAAGGATTTGGACGAGGTCAAGGCGGGCGCCGCCTTCGCGTGCGCTGCTCCTCTCCCCGCGCGGCAGCCGTGAGCGGCGCATCTTCACACCTCCGAGGCGTGAACAGGTACGCCACTGCCCTCGACTCGCTCAAGACTTTCCAGGCGAGTGCCAGCCTCTCAGGGGAAGGCCTCTCTCTCTCTCTCGCATGACTCTGCGCGGTGCGACGTCGTAGGCGGAGGTGCTGCCCAAGGCGATGCGCCGCGAGCTGTAGAGAGGGCGGCAAGAGGAGGCGGCCAAACCTACCGCCGCCTGGACCCTGCCGCATCTCCCCCGCCACACATGCCGCTCCCCGCCGCGTGCCGCCGCTTTGCTGTCAGCCGCGGGAGGCGACGCGGCGATGGGGGCGAGGTGGGCTCGTGCGCCTCTGAACAAGGCGCGCCGGCCCTGCCTACGCCAGTGCAGTGCTACACGTGTCTTTTTTATTAGCCCGCGACCGTGCTACGTGCATAGAGAGGAGTGGTGCTCTCGCTTGCTTCTTTAAACTGATTGGTGTAACCCCTCTTGCCTCTACACTTCGGAGGCCCGCGCGCGCACGGCCACGGGCGGGGGGCCCGCGCCGCGAATAACGGGCGGGGAATCGGGATCGGCCGTCCAACTCGTTTTCTTTTACTTGTGTTAGTGTTGAGTCTTAGTGTTGTTAGAAACTCAGGGCACATGGAATTTGTAAGAAAGAAGAAAAACCGGCACTGAATTCTTCCTTTCTCGTCGGCTAGCAGGAGGACGACGGCTTCCATCGCCTAAGCCTGCAACACAGCAGGAGCGCAAATTTGCCCCGCCGATCCTGCTCGCGGTGCCTATTTGACGTCGTCTGGCCATGCCCCCGTTGACCAGCGAGGGCTGGGAAAAGCTCTTCCAGCTCGCGGGCAGCGAGCCGGTCTCGTATGCCAAGGATGCAGTGGCGCGCGCCTCCCGAGCCACCTCCGGACCAACTGCTGCTGCTTCTCACCGCCGCGCGTGCACCACGCGACGTCCCCACAGATCATGCAGGACGGAGAGGCGCATGAGTTCGTCTACCGGTTGCAGCAGGGCTCGGTGCCTCAGCCCGCCGCCATCCACAGCTCCAGCGGCTGCGCGGGGCCGGCGGCTGCTCACCATTGGCCTTGGATTGCCCACCGTCAGGTACGGGTGGAGAAGGGCGACCCGCGCTTCAGCGCGAGCCGCACCGCCGTGGCGCACCCCGCTGCCGAATCTCCACCCACACCCCTCCTCTCACCCTCCCGACCTCCCACGCCCGGGGCCCTCCTCTCACCTCGCCCTCTCCCCTCCCTCTCCCACCCTATCCACGATGTTTCTCCCTCCGTCCCCTCCAGGTCAACATCCTCTCTCCGGGCGTCACCTTCGGAGAGATGAGCTTCCTTGACGGCACCGCTAACACTGCGACACCGCAGCCCCAGCGCAGCCACAACACCCAAACCCGCCACAAACCACAAACCTCCAGCTCCCGCGCCTATCCTGCCGCCCGCCCCACCGCTCCCCTTCGCACCTCTGCTCCAGGTGCTCCCGCCTGCGCCACCTGCGTCGCCGACTCGGACGACGTCTCGGTGACCCTGCACATCATGCCATGTCACCTGCGCCTCGTGCATTGTAGTCAGATCACCGGTTCCTCTCCTCTCTGGCCGCGGGTCGGGAGGGGAGGGGAACCCTTCCGGGCTCTTCTCCGAGCCTACTCTGCCCCCTCCTCCCACCCCCGGGGCAGGTGGTCCGCCTCTCCCGCGCGGCGCTGGAGGGCGTGCTCGAGGCCGAGGTTGCGACTACCGCGACACTTCTTCTTCTGCCCGAGGACGAGAGGCCTGGCCAGGCGAGCCCTCTCGGTGCCCCTCCACCGTAGGCAAACCTCGGGCGCGACTTCTTCTGCCAGATGGCGATCGAGGTCACGCACCGGCTGCAAAAGGTGTCGACGGCGATCGCAGAGACGGGCGACGCTTCCCCCCCCCTCCTCCCCGCCGCCCGCCCGTGCGGCCAGCCGAGCGCCGGTCGTGGGACGGCTGTCAGGCGAGGCGCCACGCGGACTCACGCAGCCGGCGGACGCGGCGCTCCCCATCTCCGCCAAGAAGCTGCTCAAGGCGCCAGAGATGCAGCCGAGACGCAGCCGAGACGCAGCCCCACCCACCTCCGCCAAGACGCTCCTCCCGAGGCGCGAGCGACACGTCGCTTTCATGTCGGCCGCACCTCGGCAGCACCTCGGCCACACCTCTGCCACCTCTCCCTCGCCCACCGTCTTGGCAGGTGCGCCACCGGCTCGGCGTGCCCGACACGGAGACGATGGCCTTCATGTGCGCGGCGACGATGGTCAACCCGTCCAAGCGGCGGCTGCACGGCACGATGTACGTCTTCGAGACGCTGGCGCCTTCCCGCGGGGCTCGCGTGCCGGCAGGAGGCATCGCCCCTCACGCGTCACGGACGAGTAGGTCGGCTTCGTGCACAAGATGTTTGGCATCAAGCAGCAGGAGTCCGTCTCGTACCGCCACGTCTCGGAGGCAGCCACAGACTAAGGACGTACACCACAGACAGCAACCCACCGACCCGGGCCACCAGCCCCTGCCCCCGCCCCGACCCCACACTGCCGCAGACCAGACACACACCCTCCACCCACCTCCACGCCCGTCCCGCCGCGGGAAGGTGCTGCGCGAGACCTTCACCCTCAAGAGGGAGGACGGGGGCATCGAGCTCGTGCTCTCGGTCCCCAACCGCTCCTACCTCTTCTATCCCGCCGCCGTCGACGATGCCTTCGACGCAGCCCCGCCGCCGCCGAGACGGCGCGCAGCTGTCAGGCGTCTCCTCACGCGGCGGGAGGCTGCGAACAGGCCATTCACCGCTGCCGAGACCAGTTTGTGGCCAAGCAGTCGCGGCAGGCGCCCGCACCCGTCCCGTCGCCTCGCTTCGAGCAGGACAGCTGCCCGCCCCGGGCGCGTCGCTCCTTCCTCGCAGCCGCCTTGACGCGTCTTGCTGTGAGCAGGACCCGCACTCCGAGGCGTCGCAGGCGCTGGTCGAGGCGTCGGAGATGTCCTCGCTGCCCCCCCCCTCCCCCCCGCTGGAGGCGTGAGGTGCGCGCTGCTGTGCACTAGGAGAGCTCCGCTGTCTTCCTCAAGGAGTCGACTTCCGTCTCTTCCGGCTCGTCGAGGTCGGAGCGCTCCACGCCTCGCGCCGCGCTGAGAGCAGACTCGTTCGGTGGCGCCGCCCCTCCCCCCCGGGTGGTGGCCGAGGAGCGGGGAGCCGTCCGCGACTGCTCCCTGGCCCTGCTCTCTGCCCGCAGGCGGCCTCGCCCTCGCCAAGGTGGTGGGCACTGCGACGCTGGAGAGGTGCCGCGCGTCGTGATCGTCGACCGAAGGACTGGCGAGCCAGTCTAACGAAGCCCCCCCCCCACCCCCTGCCCTTCCCCCCCCCATAGGTACCGGCCGGGCGACGTGATCATCGCCGAGGGGTCGCAGCCGGCCACCCTCTTCAACTTGGCGCGCGGGCGCGTGTCGGTGGAGGTGCAACTCCGCACGCCCCGGCCCTCCTCCCCGGCCCTCCTCCCCGGCCCTCCTCCCCGGCCCTCCTCCTCGGCCCTCCTCCTCGGCCCCTCCGGCCCCTCCGGCCCCTCCGGCCCGTCCTCGCCTCGGCCCGGCTTACCCGGCTCCGACCCGCCCCCTTGCCCTGCGGAGGTGCCGCGGCTGGATGCGGTCACCGGCCTCACGCAGTCGGCCAAGATCCTCACGCTGTACGAGGGGGCCATGTTCGGCGAGATGTCCTTCCTGAGCGGGGGCAAGGCGTGCGCCACCGTGGTCGCAGAGGTGGAGAGCGAGGTGTGGCAGATCCGCGCGCCGGCCGTGGAGTCGAGCCTCGCTTCGCTGCCGCTCAACGAGCAGGCGCCCCTCGCAGCGAGCGGCTGGGCTGCGTGAGGCGCCGAGGCGGGGACGAGGGAGGGCGGGTGTGCGCTAGGCGGTCTTCTACAAGCACCTGGGCGGCTACCTGAGCGCGCGCGTGCGGCAGCTGACTGCGATGGTGGGCGAGAACTACGCTGCGCGATCGGGCAACACACACCGCGGGAAGAGGAGGCCAGCATCGATGGGTGGGCTGACTGGTGGGCTGCGTCCCTCAGGCGAGATCTCGCTCGAGGAGGTGCTCTCCAACGCCGTCTTCTTCTCCCTCTTCACGCGCTGGCTGGCCTCGTCGGGGATGGCCAACAAGACGGTGCTCCACTTCCTCACCGACATCAAGGAACGGACCCCCCCCCCCCCCCCTCCTTCCGCCACCCCGCTCTGAGGCAATCCACTCACCCGCCCCGACTGAATGCCGCCCTCCTCGGGACTTCCTGGACACTTCCTGGACACTTCCTGGACACTTCCTGGACACTTCCTAGACACTTCCTAGACACTTCCTAGCCTCCCTCCTCAGGAGTTCCTCGCCACTCCCGCCAACGACTCGCTCCGCCGCGCGGCGAGGGATGTGCACGCAAAGTACTTTGCGACTGCGGAGCGCGCGGCGGCGCTGGGCGTGTCCGAGTCCGCCGCCGCTGACATCCGCTCGCTCCTCGCGTCGGACACTTTGCCTCCGCGCGACCTCTTCGGGACCGCCATCACCGAGGCGCTCTCCCCACGCCGCCACGGGACGAGACACGCCCCTCTCGTGCCCACGGCCTGTCCGCGACGCCCCGCGCCAGGTGCTCTCCAAGCTGCAGGCACACGCGTACCGCAGCTTCATGCAGTCGGCGGCCTTCCAGCCGCTGCTCGACCTCAAGGCCAAGGAGAAGTACGTCCCCTGCGTGACGGACTTCAAGCTGCTGCAGATCCTGGGCGAGGGGTACGAGGGCAAGGTGCTGCAGGCGCGCAAGAAGGACTGCGGCGTCATGTACGCCCTAAAGGTGCTCGACAAGCAGATCCTCGCCTCCCGCTCCCGCCGCTGGCAGCTGCACGCCTCGCGCGAGCTCGAGTGCCTCAAGGCGAGACCCGCCCGAGACGCCCGAGACCCATCCGAGATCCATCCGAGATCAGCGGAAGGTCTCCCGAGACGCACCCGAGATGCGAGACGTCTCCTGCGATGACCCCCCTCATCCTCCTGTGCGTGCACCTCGGCCGCACCTCGGCCGCACCTCGGCTGCGTGTCCCTCCAGGCGTGCGACCACCCGTACGTGGTTCCGATCCACTACTCCTTCCAGACGCCGCAGTTCCTGTACATGGTGCAAGAGCACGTGCCCAACCACACGCTCGCGCGCTACCTCGAGAAGCACGAGGGCAAGCCGATGAGGGAGGAGGAGGTCCGCTTCATGACGGGGCAGCTCGTGTGCGCGCTCGCGCACATGCACAAGCAGACCATCGTGTACCGCGACCTCAAGCCCGCCAACGTCCTCATCGACACCGAGGGGCACCTGCGGATGGTCGACATGGGGATGGCGTCCAAGCTCGACCCGGAGACGGGCCGCCGCAAGTCCGTCTGCGGCACGCAGCGGCGCGCGTGCACGAGGTGCAGGCGAGGCTGCTGGGCGCCGCCTCACGCGCCGCCACGCGCGAGTAGGTACATGGCGCCCGAGATGAAGGCGAAGCAGCCGTACGAGCAGAGCGTCGACTGGTTCTCCCTCGGCAAGCTCATCCTCGACTGCCACGGCCGAGACCCGTACGCCAAGGAGTGCGCGTACTGGGAGACCTCCGGCGCCGCCACCGCTCGCCCGCCGCCCTCCTGTGCAGCCGGCGCCTCTTCACACCTCGAGGCGTGGACAGGCCTGCTCGAGCTCATCGACGCCCTCCTCGTCAAGGAGCCGACCAAGCGCCGCGGCTACGGGCCGGACGGCGCGCGGCACAACACACCCTCGCGCCCCGCCCTCTCCGCGTCGCGGGAGTGAGGGTTGAATGGGCGCCTCCTCGCGCCGCCAGGCGCGCGCGACATCCAGCGCTCGGCCTTCTTCGCCGACCTCGACTGGGCCGCCCTCGACGCGAAGAAGCTGCCCTCGCCGCTGCAGCGACACATGTACGAGCGCGCGCCCGACGTGAGCATGACGCGCCAGTTCCGCAACGGGGAGGACATCAACAAGGCGAGAGGCCGCGGCGAATCCCCCCCCCCCCCCTCTCCCCTTCGTGACATCTCGCCGCATCCCGCCGCATCTCGCCACATCTCTCCTCGCTTGCCGCAGGTGGTCGAGAAGCTGCAGCACATCTCGCTCGACACGGGCCGCACCGCCAACGTGGACGAGTCCGGGCCGGGCAACATCCCTAGCTGGGACCACATCTCCCCCTCTGTCGTGTACTCCGAGTACCTCCAATCGCCGTTCCACTCGGCGCGCTCCTACATATGAGAGAGTCGACCCGAGTAGGGGAGTGAGGGAGGGAGGGGGAGTAGAGAAGGGAGAGGATGGGGTGTGCCCCTGCGGAGAGAGGAGCGGGCTGGTGAGATGCACTCTAATCATCTAAGGGGGGCGGGGCGCGCAAATGTCTGTGGCATGTGCGGCCGTCGCTCCGTGTTTCTGTGCCCGGTGCGCGTGTGCTCGAGCGCTCCAGCCTCCCCTTTTTTCGAGACCATACTGTCGTAATGCGCGATTCGACATGAAAATAAGAGACGAGACGTCGTTCAAACGCCGAGCCTCTCGGATCCTCGCGGCGCTCCGCGCTCTCGGCCTCGGGGCCGCACACCTCTCGACCTGCCCTCTCCATCGCAATTCGCGTGTGCGTGCTGCTGAGCTGGCACGCGCGCGCAATCGCAACAAAGACGCAGGCGTCCCGTACACCATGCCGAAGTTCCGTCAGGGGCGGCGACCCCCCCATCTACAGATGATATGCGCATCCTAGATGCCAAACGCCATCTAGGATGCGTTTTCCATCTAAGGACACCGGGTGTCTCCACTATGATTGGGTTCTCCAAGAAGATTCAATCATCTTTAGATGGTGCCCCGCGTCTTTTGATAGCCCGTGACATCTCAGATACTGCAGTGTGTCGTCTTCAGACGCACAAGTGTGCCGAGATGATACCCTCATCTTGGGTTAGTCCATGCATCCCAGGATGCAATGTGGCATCTGAGGATGCGCAATGCATCTCAGGAACATGAGCGCGTTGTCGGATTTCCCCCCCTATTTTTGATCGACAGTGTCGGAGTTTTTTGCCGAACCCGAACCCGAAATAAAAACCAGTCTTACATATACAACCGCAACCTTCCATAGTGTAGAAAAGTCAGCATTAGCACAAGGGCTAAGTGCCCCCCACCATCACTCACTGCACACTGGCTCCCAGTTCCATCACCATCAGTAGTATTCCACAGACAACAGAGTAGTTAGTCACATCACACTTACATAGCCATACTAGTAGCAGCTGAGATTAGCATAGATTCATAGTCTCCACTCCCACTTTGATCCAAGGGCTCACACGCCGCTCAAGTCTTTATAATTTAACTTGCATTTTAATCATTAAATGCCAAGCATCTTGGGATGCGAAGCATCTTCAGATGATTCGAGCATCCCAAGGGCACACTGCTGGCCTGCCGGAGCTTGCCGCCTGGCGTCATCGTCCTCACCAGTTCGCAGATCAAGGTCGAGGCAAGTGCTTCGCACGGCGGCAGCAGCGGCGAAGCACTCGCCACCGCGGAAAGCCAGCGGCTCTTCGCGCTCGAGCTGATCGACCAGACGCGCAAGCATCAGCCGCGGCTCAACGCACAGCTCATCCCCATTCTCGAGGCAGCGAGCGGCAAAGACGGCTCCAAGGGCCGCGAGCGCTTCTGCGCGTACCTCATCCGCCAAGCGGCGGCGGAGGCGGAGCAGGTGCTTCAGCTGCAGCGCCCGAGCTCGAGCCGTGGGCAGCAGCTCGCTGCCGCGCTGAAGGCCGTCCACAACAAGGGTGCAGCGGGCGGCCACGCGGCCCGCTTCGGCCTCGGCACACCATCGATCGCCGACATGGTCGACGCGGGCTGCTCGGTGCTGCACGAGCCGTACCTGCTTGAGCAGTGCCAGCGCGGGATCGACAACGCGTTGAGCAAGCTGCGCAAGGGAAAGATGCGCCTCGGCCACGACTCGGTCAACGTCATGGGCTTCCCCGACTTCACCGGCAGCTTGCGCGAGGGCGAAATTTTCCTCGTGATCGATGGCAAGCATTGCCAGCCGCTCGCGGTGGTGCGCGGGGCTGGCTCGCTGAGCGCTGCGGCGGGGGCAAGGGCAGGGCCGGTGCCGCTCGTGAGTGACGCTCTTGTCTTCGGCTCTAGATCATAAACTGTCTCCCCTGCTTCCCCGACTTCATTGTATTCCAACTAGCTAGCAGTCGAGAATACATGCATTCTGCTGGCACCCTTGCCGCACTTCACACCCTGTTTATCCACACCCCTAGGTCTACCACCCGCCCGGGGTGCGTGCGAGCGACGTGCGATCGGTGCGATCCGTCTTTTGCCGCGAACTCTACGAGGAGCTCTTCGGCGACGGCCGTTCTGTCGACCTCGGCCGCGCGTCGGCCGTCTTCTTCTCGGTGCATGGCGCGCAGCCGCTCGCCGACATGCTCGCAGGCGGCGACTACGACGGCGACAAGTTCTACGTGATCCAGGAGCGAGAGCTCCTCGAGCTCTTCCACGGTCAGGGAGGCTGCGGAGCGGACGCGGCGGCCCCGCTGCCAGCCGAAGCGCCATCACTGGAGGCGGCGCCGCGCCTCGCGAGCGGCGCCGCTCTCGAGGCCGCGCTGCAGCAGGCCTTTCTCTCCGCGCGTCACGACGCGAGCACCGCGGTCGGCATGGCGGAGGTCAACCACGCAGCCGCGGTCGACAAGTTTGGGATCAACCACCCCATCTCGGTTGAGCTCGGCGAGATCTACTTGCAGCTGCTGGACGGCAAGGGCGACGGCCCAAAGCAGGCCGCGAAGGTCCGCACGCTCCAAGCCAAGATCGGACCCCGCCCCCACTGGATGCTCGCGCACCGGGGCGGTGACGCCACAAGGTACTTGACGCAGAGCACGTCGGCCCTCGCACAGCTTGCGACGTGCAGCCTGGGCGAGGCGCGGCTCGCCCTCGCGAGTGCAGGGCTCCAGCTCGACCCTCTGCTACGCCTCGAGCTGCACCGGTCGGAGAAGATCAACGAGCTGGAGCTGCAGGCCATGCGCAAGCGCATGCAGGGGCTCTGGGTGAAGTACAAGGCACGTTTCAAATCGCTGAAGAGGCAGCAGCAGCTCGAGGCGCGCGAGCGTGAGCGCGCCCAGCCGGCTACAGGGGGCGGAGGCGGCGGCGTGGCGAGCGATGGCCGAGACGACGAGCGCGAGTGGCAGGATAAGTACTTCGCGATGGTAGCGCCGCTGCGCGAGACGCTGCTCGCGCCATACGAGGCGCAGCGCGGCTCACGGTCGACCTCCGAGCCGCCCCGCCTCCTCGCCGAGGCGTGCGCGCTGTACGAGGTCGTCTACGAGGAGAAGCAGCGGGCGGCGCTCGGGCAGGAGGAGCCAAAGTACTTTACGACATTCCCGTGGCACGTGTGCGGCGACATGCTGCTCTTTGTGCGCAAGGCACGTGTTAGTCGGGCCATCAACCCGTCGCAGGCGTTGTTCAGCAGTCTTGGCACGAGGGGTTGGGAATAGTGACGCGACTCGCTATCCCGAGGACTGACTGCCCTTGTGGAAACCGGCGAGACAGTGACTATCGCCTGTGTGCACGTCGCTGCTGCTCATGCGCTCACCCTCTCCGTTGGTTGAGAGTGGCCTGCGTTAAGAATGCAGAGCTGTCACACACGCACTCTCTAGGGGCAGAAGCGATGTCTCGCTCCACGTGCTCTGTCGTACTCTCTGTTTATCTTGCTTGACGCACTCCGGCCTTCACACTGTCCCGTGTGTGAGCCATCGTGTCACGCACGCGCCGATGTGGCGTCGGTCGGCGGCATGGCTGTCGACGTCAACATCAGATTTGCCTCGTGCGTCCCTTTTTGAGTCGGAAAGCTATTTTCTTTTGGGTCCTGTGGCACCCTACCTTCGCACGTTCACGTACTACTTGTTACACCTCTGCTAAAATGGGGCTACTCTGGGTGTCGCGGGGGACGTTATTCTGGCCCTCTGCCAAGGCGCCGGGCGGTGTTCCGGTGTTCGCCGGCGCCGCCGTTGAGCAGTGAGCCTGGGGGTGGGCGCGGGTCGGCCAGATAGCCGGCGGTCCCCACGAGTTGAGCCGCCGTGCCGGGGTCCGCGCCCTTCCCGGACGGAGGGTGAAGGCTTGCCCGCGGTAGCGTGCGTTGCCTGTGTGCTCCAGGATGCATGGGGCGCCGCGGCGCTGAGCGCCCGGCAGCAGCAGCAGCTCTGCGCCCGTGCGAGCGAGCCGCCGCCGCCGTTGCTCGGAGCCGCAGTGAAAGAAGAAAAAAGAGAAAAGAAGAAGTGCGGCGCCGTCACGGGATTGCATGTCGGGGGCAGCCTGCTTGCGAGCTCCATTTAGCATATTGTCATGGACAGCACCAGCAAGCTCGCCTGCGACTACCTGTGCATTGGCGCGGGCACGGCCACGATGTCCTTTGTCGACTCGATGCTGACCCTCTCCACCGACTCGACGTCCTTCGTGATTGTCAACAAGCAGCCGGCGCCGGGCGGGCACTGGAACGTGGCGTACCCGTTTGTCACTCTGCATCAGCCTTCGGGAGCATACGGCGTCTGCTCTGAGCCGCTCGGCAAGTTCAAGGGACGGCGCGAGTTCCTGAGCCCGACGGACCTCGCCACGGGCTCTGAGGTCCTCGAGTACTACAGCCGCGTCATGGCCAAGTTCGTCGCGACAGGGCGGGTGCGCTTCTACCCCTCCGTGACCTATGACTTTGACACGCGCTCCTTCACCGACGCTGAGGGCCAGGTCAAGACCGTTTGCTTCACCACGCTCGTGACGCCCGAGTCCTACGTGACCGTGCCGTCGATGCGGCCGCCGCCCTTCCCAGTCGAGGAGGGCGCTGCGACCATCAAGCCAGTCAATGCCCTCCCGACCGAGGAGGCGAGCCGGTACGTCGTGCTCGGCTGCGGCAAGACGGGCACCGACGCCGTGCTGCACCTGCTGCGCCGCGGCGTCGATCAGCGGCAAATCTCGTGGGTGGTTCCTCGCGACACCTGGTACTTACTGCGCGAGAAGATCTGGAGCCCGGCCAGTGGGAGCATTCTGCCGTTCAAGTTGGCCTTCACAAACGCGCTACTGCGGAGCGACTCCATCCTGGGCGCGTTCAAGGCTCTCGAGCGCGCCGGCTACCTCGGCCGCCTCACTCTCGACCACGAGCCTGTGCAGTGCAGGGGCGCGCTGATCACGACCGCCGATCTGCACTTGCTTCGCACGGTGCAGGACGTAGTCCGGCTCGGGCGCGTCACCGCCGTCCGCCCCAACCGCCTCGAGCTCGAGAAGGGGACGATGCCGCTCGAGCCAGGCTCGCTGCTCGTCGACTGCACCGCCTGCGGCACGGGAGGCTACACTGCCAACTACGACGTCTGGTCGCCAGGACACATCCGCTTGAGCTCAAATCTCACGCTATTTAACCCGTCGCATTCATCGGCGCTCGTCGCCTACATCGAGACCACCTCGACAGACGCCGCCGCAAAGAACAAGTTCATCGCGCACTCAGCGGCGTCGCCGCTGTTAGTCGTTGACGGGTCGCCGAACTTCCACGGGCACCTCTCGCAGCTTGTGCAGGGCGTCTACTCTGAGCTCAAGACCATGCGCGCCATCCAGGCGCACGGGAAGAAGAGCTTCAACTTCTACTTCGCGGCGCGCACCAACTACGTCGCACCGTGCCACGTCCCGCTCCGCAAGACGCTCTGGGTCATGTTCGGCCCCGCCCGGCTCGACAAGAAGGCAACGAGGCTCATGCGCAAGATTGAGCGCGTCGGCTTCGAGGACATGCCGCCCGTCGACCCGCGACCGCGCAAGGCGGCGGCCTCACCTGCCCGGATGGTGGCGTAGAATGTGGCACGAGGGGCGGCTCGCCTCCTCCGCTCGCCGATCGCGAGAAGATGGAAGTGAGCGAGCCGACCATTGCGCCTGGGCAGGGCGCTCCTGCATGGACTTGCATGGCCGCAAGGCATGAGACGGCGGTAAAATTTTCTTTTCTTTCGATCATCCGAGCTGTGTGTATCAATTAAAGGAGCGCGGCCGGCAGCGGAGAACAGAAATTATTGTGCATAGCCTACGTAGAGGCAGAGTACCTACTTAGGGGCTACGTAAGCCGAGCTCACCTTTTTAGAATTTTACGGCTTTACGCGACAACATCCCACTCAACATCCCACTCTGTCCGCGGAACGTTGACAGCAGCGTCGCCGAAGCACTCGTCGTGGTACTTTTTGTTTCGAGTCTTCTTGCCCATGCATCGACACGGCCTGGCAAGCCACATGTCGAGGGTGAGACCCAGGCGGCGCTGCACCGAGATCGCATCGCCCAGGTCTCCAATCGCATGTCATCCCGCATTACACACAATGGGACCGCCCGTCCTCCTCAATTCGAGAGAGAGATTTTTATTAACTTCAATTCGATTATCGTGACCCCCGGGGGTCGTTACATGCGCCTCGTCACTCTCCATCCATTCGTTCGCGGCTCCATCCTCCAATCGCCCCAAGAGCCAATAAGACTGTCCAAATGTTTTCGAAGACAGTCTTCGTTTGGGGGGGGGGGCTAAAAAGAAACCTGGGCCCGCCACCCTCCCTCCCCGGCCCAGTTTATCTGTCCAATCGGTCCGGGATGCTCGCCATACTGCTGCTGTGCCTCTTGCACTCGGTCGTCTCCCTATCCCTCCGCCGCTCTCCCATCCTGGCGCCAGTGCGGGCGCCTCGGGTACTTCCATACCTCGCTGCCACACAGCCGCTGAATCTAGCCGTGTTTTCAGCGCGCCCGTACATGCGTACTCAAATGGAATGCTGGAGCGCAAAGTTCTCTTCAGTGAAGATGATCGAAGCATCACTCAGCCCAGTGACGGCCAGCCTCGCCAATGGTTGCGATGCGGTCAGTGTTCGCACGCACGCCTACACTCATACACGCACACAATCCTCTCTGCGGTCAGTGTTCGCACGCACGCCTACACTCATACACGCACACACACAATCCTCTCCCGTTGGCTCTAGGTCTGCGCCTTTGTCAATGACGACTGTGGTGCGGAGACATTGGAGGCGCTCGCGGCGTGCGGCGTCGGCTGCGTCGCGATGCGGTGCGCTGGCTATGACAGGGTCGACCTCTCGATGGCAGAAAGTCTCGGGATAGTGGTGCTTCGCGTGCCTGCCTACTCGCCGCACTCGGTCGCCGAGCACGCGGTTGCGTTGATGATGGCGCTGAACCGCCAGATTGTCAAGGCGAGCGCTCGAGTTGCCCAAGGCAGAGCCTCAGCGCTCGTTTGCCTGCATGACGCGGCTGAGCAAACGAACAAGGCAACATATGTTTGCAGGCAACTATGCGCTATCCGGCCTCGTCGGCTTCGACATGCACGGTAAGACGTGCGGCATCATCGGCACGGGCCTGATTGGCCGCTGCACAGCGGCCATACTCCTCGGCATGGGCTGCCGGGTGCTTGCCTACGACCCGTTCCCGAACCAGACGGCGCGCGACATGGGGATCGAGTACGTCGAGCTCGAGGAGCTTCTCGCCTCGTCTCGCGTCATCTCGCTGCATTGTCCGCTGACGGCAGAAGCTCGCGAAGAGGAGCCTTCCTGCTTCGCACCGCGGATATCAGAGCGCTCTCTGCGGACAGGACGAGACGCGACACCTGATCAACAAGCACACCATCAGCCTGCTCAAGCCCGGCGCGATGATCATCAACACCTCGCGAGGTGGCCTCCTCGACACCGCCGCCGCCGTGGAGGGGCTCGACTCGCGAAAGATCGGTGTGCGTCGCCCCGACAGCTGGAGCTCGAATCGAGGGGACGGTTGGCACGATTGCTCCGCGAGCGATAGGCGCGCTCGGCATGGATGTCTACGAGGAGGAGGGCGGTCTCTTCTTCACAGACTCGTCCATCACCTCCGACGACCTGGCCGGCGCCAGCACACCTGAGGACTGGGATCCGGCGATACGACCCCTCCTCGCGCGGCCGGCCCCCTGAAACCCCTCGATGCCCAGGCGTTGACGCTGGCCGCCGTCGCGTCGCCCAGGTGCTCGGCGCCCTCGCCTCGCGGCCAAACGTGCTCGTGACGCCCCACATGGCCTTCCTCACGGCCGACGCCCTCGAGGCGATCGCAGAGGTCACCGCGGAGAATCTCGCCGAGTTTGTCGCGTCACGCCACGACCCGAGTCTCACTTTCACAAACCAGGTGCTGCCATGATAGCGCCTGGTCTCACCTGGCAGGCAGTTGACCAACCCCCACAACACCTCGGTCCGCTTATTCGGCGGCGTCTGGCGGAGCGGGCCCGTCACCAGCTGCGGAGAGAGGAGGAGAGAGAGGAGAGGCTGGTCGCACTCGAGTGCAGAAGTCACTGGGCGACACGAGAGCGGGTTCGTTGCGTGTTAGTTACTGAGAGTCTCGCCCCCGCGAAAGAGCAGATTCACATTATTCCGGGCGTTCGCCCAACGTGCGCCCCGTGACCTGGAGCTGGACCGCCCCACCCACACGCGGCGCCCGCTCCTGCCCCCGCGCCGCTAGAGGGGATCTACTGTGATGGAACGGAAGTTGGGATGCTTTCGGGAGAGCGATGGTTACAGTGCGACAGAGAGAACGCCGAAGCGGTGAGAAAAACACCCTGTAATACACGAGATAAAAGGACTTCAGAAGAGAGGCGAAACTTCTGGTGCAGCGGGTTCTCCCATCACTCTCACACACGACACAAGCAATATGACAACAACATGTACATGTACATGTGCATGCACATGTGGCTCGATTCCCGCCCGCGCTGCTACTCCACCATGTCTCCCGCGTCCATCTGCCGGCTCCGCTCCTCCTCAATTGCGGCCTGCATGCGCCTGCGGGGGTCGCGGTCCGGGACAGGTCACGCCACGCCTCCCTCCGCCTCCCACGTCGACAGCAGCAGCCTGTGTGTGGGCTACTGGGGAGAGAGCACGACTTGTATCCTAGGCCACGCACCTGCGCTGCTCGGTGATCTGCGCCGGCGATACGAGCTTCTTTGGGAAGAAGTCGACCAGCCCCTGCGCGCTGGCGAAGGAGGGCAGCCTCTCCGCACAGGCGAGTTTCCTACTCGCGCAAACCTCACGGCTGAACGCAAGGCCTGCTCGCAGTGTCGGCAGCGGCGGCCGGCGAGAGCACTCGACGAAGTGGAGCATGTAGACACCTGTGGCAAAATGTGTCGCTCAGCGCAATCGTGTCTCGCTCATGTCGCGAGAAGAGGGGGCGTGCGCTGCGGGGGGCGTGCGCTCGCCGCAGTCGTAGTCGTTGTCTTGCTGTGGCGCGAGATGGCAGATGATGTGAGGCAGCGACTGCGCCTGTTCACAGATGCACGCGTGAAGAGGCGCTGTTCACATGCGTGGCATGCCGCGCAGCAGACGCTGTGTACCGTGAACCACGCCACGCCCTTCTCGTCCGGGCTCCCCTCCACCACGGCAGCCGCCTGGCCGTCCGCCGCCGCCACCGTCACCGTCGCCTCCGCCTCTGCCGTCGCCTCCGCTGCCGACCCCTCGCCCGCTCGCGCCGCGGCCGCCTCCGCTATCACCGCCTCCGCCATCACCGCCTCCGCCGTCACCGCCTCCGCCATCACCGCCTCCGCCTCTGTGGACTGCGCCGCGCCGCCCGCCTCTGGCGCCGCCACCGCCGCCAGCCCGGCCTCCTCCGCCTCCTCCGCCTCCTCCGCCTCCTCCGCCTCCTCCGCCTCCTCCATCGGCTCCTCCTTCTCCTCCTCCGAGTCGCTCACCTCCTCCTCCTCCTCCTGCGCCACCTCCTCCCCGGCCACCTTCTCCTCCGTCTCCGCCTCCTCCTCCCCCCCCACCCCGGTCACGGAGCTGCCTCCCGCCGCCGAACTCCCTCCCGCCGCCCCGCCG